TTATAAAAAGAAAATTAAAATACAACAGTGTGCAAACAATTTTTTTCAGACTTCAACCAGAAAAGGCAGCCATGTTATTTTGTTCTGCTAACACTCATCTGCCCTATATAAATGTATCAGATTACCAAAGCGGGAAAAGAAATAAATGAACATATACCACATATATAGACTGGAGATACTTGTTCCATTGTTTACATGGTATAATACATGCTACAACCAAGGATAATAGTAATGAAAGACTAACAGGAAGTAAAGGCTTCAAGTTGAAAGGTGGGTGGTTCCTAAATGAAACAAACTGAGTTTGGCATGTGCACATATGTTCACAAGTAACATTAGTTCAGCACACATACTGCTAGCTTTATAGACATCAACTTACACACTTCCTGTGCTAATTTACTATCACCACTTTAACATATCAGAAGATAGCAACAACATATTTTTTTTGTTTTAGTTGCTTGTTAGTTTGACACTCAAAACTTTTATATATATATATATATATATATATATATATATATATATATATATATATATATATATATATATATATTAAAATAATACAAAGCAATTTATGTGCTTTATATAGAGTTTTCATTACAAAACATAGTAAATATCTTTACTAAATTACTTTTTGATATACACTGAGTGGGAAATAACTCAAAATCTGTGAAGAGATAAGACAAAGCTAAACATCATCTTATACACAGCAACTGCAAATATTTTTATGAATATTTCATCATTGGCTTAGTTTTAAACACATCAGATTCAATCAGTCATTTAGCTTCAGATAATCAGAGGATTATTTTATTTCCACTTCCTTTACATGAAACTTAAAAATTTTCCCTAAATATAATAAGTTTTTTTTATCTAAGAAATTATTTCTATGTAATTTTTTTATATTAACTCGATGACCAAAGAAACATTTTAATTTATGCAAATTATTTAAAGAGTAGAAATCTTAGTTTTTATTTTGGAGCAGTTTTATATATAACTACCCTACACACAAGCTGGTGGCCCACTGGCAGGCTGCTGATAGCAATGCCAGCAGTCCTCTGGTGGACACCACCAGTGGTAACATTACTGAGACAAACATTCCAGCAGCTCAACAGCAGGCCCACCAGCAGCAAATGTTAGTGATATGCCACCCAGTGGCAGGTTGGTGACTTGAGTGTCGGGTAGAGTATTTGGTGAAATGTGGCAGCAACCAGCATTTAGAGGAAAGTAAAGAATAAGTCTATATGATTAGGTTTAATTTTCTGCATTATTTGACTTTCTTAGAACTAAATAAGAGTAGTTGTTACAGTAAATAAAATAAGACTTCTTAAAGAAAAAGTGATTTATCACCTAGATGGTTTGATCATGAACCATGTTGCATACTAAGTCTGAACACTTGTGATAAAAGCAAAAGAAATTAAAAATGGTTGACAAGGCTTCATCTATTAAAAAATTCAAGATAACCTATTTTAAGACAAAGAATTCAACATTTAAGTTATAAAATGGCTTAAATTTAACAATAAAGGACAAAAACATAATGCATATAATGGACTTTATGAATTTAAGCACAGTGCTTGATTTGCAACAAATTCTCATCATTTTACAATTGAATTGGCAGATGTAACTAAGTTCTATGCTAAATTTGTCTTCTCACACTTCTCCCTTTTGGAACTCTTCTGGCTTCTTGCTTTGCAGGCAACTCTGATCTTTAAAAATTTAAATGCAATGTCAAGCATTTTCTTAATTTTTCCTTATTTATTATTCTCGCTCCTTAACACTGTTTTTCTTGTATTCTTTCACAATCAGTATCCCCTTGTACCTAAGTAGCTTTAAATGCCTTGCTTAGGGTGAAATAATTTAAAAAGAAAAAAAGTTTTTATCAAAAAATGTTAATGTTATTCAAATAAGGTTAACCTTTAAAGACCTACAAATGGATAACAGTTACTCAAGAGACAAGATTAACAAAAATTATAAGCTTGATACTTAACCTGTGAAATTTTAAAAGCCAGGCCAAGAAGGAAAGAAAAAAGATTTTTTAAAATCCTGCCATGTGTTGGCTCACATCTTGAACAAAGATTAGTTCTCAAAGTATATAAGCAATTAATCCAACATTGTAGCAAGTCAAGATCTTCCAGTCAGCAGTCAAAGATTTGTATGTCATCTTTTGAGCCAATTTTTGCTTCATTTTGGATAATTCTCACAAAAAAAAAAGAAAAAAAAAAAGAAAGAATTTGGCATAATTTAGGTAATTGATCAAAGACATACCTATTTTTTCATTGCAGTGAATAGATTTTTACCATACAATTTTACAACTGAAGAAACAAGATCATTATACAGAGATATTTCAGGTATGGTTCTGTTCATGTTGAAACACATACACCCTACAGCATTAATTGGATTACGCATAGGGCATATTGACTCAAGGAGAATCAATCAAATTTACAGTGGCTGAAAAAAAAAAAAAAAAAAAAAAAAAAAATTCAATAACAGGATTGTCATTTTTCCTGTTTATTGAAAAACTACTTATTAAAAATTGGACTTTTTTTGTGAGGAAAACAATCAAAAACTGTATAACGTTCCATACAGTTTTCATACAAAATAAAGTTTATGAATGCAGAAAAGCCATAATTGAAGGTGATGGCAACAAAATCAGGCATACATGCACACACACAAACTTGTTTAAAATATATTTACATTTTGTGGTTATTGCAGATTTTATAAGAAAATGAATGTTACAAATGTAGGAAAATTGAGTAATACTAATCTTCTAGTAGTGCTTATATATCATAATTTGAACTTATCTGACCTTATTTTAACAAATTTATTTTTCAAGAGTCCTGGGTGATGTGTTGTTCTTACATAAAATCTACTTGAATTTTTTACAGGCATTTGTGATAATAAAAATGCTAATATAGACAATGATATGCACAGTACATTTTTGAAGAGAAAATGCAAATCATTTATAGCCGTGCTCATCATTTGTTTTTATTTCGGCAGATAAGTATTTTATTATTTTATTTATTATATATTAAAAATGTATGGATGAGATGCAGCAGTCATGATAGCAATGGTATCTGTTGTCATAAAAGATGGCAGCTAGTCAAAGATATGAGAAAAGGCACTAAGAATGATTTCCATCAATCTTCAAAATTTTTGTATTCTTAAATCTTATTTTTCCTTTTTTAGAGATATTTAAGTTTATTATTAATTTGTTTGTAATGTGTAAAAATATTGTTTCTTTAGTTTATCTGTCAAGTGTGTGTCCCCCTCAGTTATGTGCCTTGAGTTGTAATTGTGGATTACTTCAGTTATACCTGTCATATTTTCTTAGGAAGATAACAGAAGCATATTAAGTAAACGAGCCAAAAATGTATTTTTCTACATTATACATTGTCAAGAATAAAGTGTTCCATAAGTATATTGAAAAGAAAATTGTTCTGGTTTTCTTTTTCTAAATCTTAATTTATTTTTTTGTTATTTATCAAAAAGGTGAATTGTCTCCTCTCTATCAGATTAGAAACAAAATAAGAGAGGTATGTCTCTTGTTTATGCACAAGAAAGAGAGAAAAGCAAAAAAATATCAACAATTGTACAAATAAATTAGAGGGATTTTTAAAAATACGGAAGAAACAGAAAAAGAGAACAGAACAATAAATTTAGTTAAAAAATTGAAATTCTTGTATTTGATAACAGGCTTGGACTTTATAGGCTTTTAAAATTTTAAAAGAATTTGTATAGATAATACATGAATAAATAAATAAAAACCAATCACTTCTCTTAGAAATGTAAGTAAAATTTATGATACTGCCAAATTATTTTTTTGCATTTTTCTTTTTCTGAATTTTTTCCCTCTTTGAGGAAAAAATTTTAAAATTTACTGAAAGACAAAAATTAATGAAAGAAATTTTTTTAAAAAACAAAAATGTAAGTAAATTGTTATATATTTGTGTGTGTGTGTGTGTATGTGTGTGTGTGTGTGTGTGTGTGTGTGTGTGTGTGTGTGTGAGTGAGTGAGTGAGAGAGTTTCTGAAAAAGAAAGCAATTGTTTTTTTTTTTGTTCTTCCATGGTTATCATTGGAAGAATTCCATTGATGGAGTTGTCCATAGCATGTGGATCATAGATGGACATTGAGGAACATGGGTATAAAATGAATGTGGAACTCTGCCTAAGACTGCGAGAAAAGGGAATGATTCATAAATATTTCAAAAGGAAATGTTATTTTATGTTAAGACTTTCAAAATTAGAATTATATTTTGTTTAGCAATTTCTTTTATCATCACATTTAATATGATTAAAACTTGAATATCAGACATCAGTTTTTTTAAAGTTACTGATAAATATCAAATTTAAAAAATCTCACTGAAAAACAGAAGACTTATTCAGAGTTGTTTCTTATTGATTTTAGTTGTTTTTGACTTAGTATAAATGATTTCAACATTGCCATTAGCAGTTTGAACAATTTTGCTATATTTTCTGACATTATACACATTTGTACAATTTTGCCTTCTGTTGACTCCAAAAGAAGTTTTTAAATGAGATATTTCTAGTATGAGGTATGATAAGACAACTTTGCAGGATATGTTTATAATGATATTTTTAAAGAAAGGAAGTGAAGAATGTTCTGTAAAAAGTAACCTAACTTAGTCTTGTCAGTGGAAACTGTTTATAAGTCAGTATTTCATAAAGAGGATTTATAACAACTTCACAACATTCTCATTTGATGTTGGCTGAAGGATGATAGAGTAGGACGAAGATAAATCTATTTCCTCATATTTCTCTTTATAGCAGACTATAGATGTTTTTAAAGTAGTGGTGGTAATAATTGAATTAGTAATTGATGAGCTCTAGTTGTAATAGTAGTAATTGGACTCCAGCTGCAGGTGTCCTTCCCCACTACCCTGCAGCTGGTCCATGGTCCACGTGTTCCAAACAGTTGCCAAGGTAACGTTGAATGAACACAAGAGCAGCAGTAATGTGTATCTTCACTGGCTGATGCAAATAATCAGCCTCATCCCTGTACTTCAGGTAATTCTTGTGTTTCTCCTCCTCCTGTGCTTTGGTCCTCAGCCAAGCGATAAGTCAAAGAAAAACCTTTCCAATTGACTGTATCATCTGTCACAAAGCGAATAGTCAAGATACGACCTGATGATGTTACAGGAGGAGGTTTCTGTAAGGAGAAAAAAAAAAAAAACAAATCATCTTATTTCAATGTTTAAAGCTTATCTTCATTGCTAATATTAAATAAAATTTCTATTACAAAAATTTTCAAAAACCAAAAATGAAAATATATATAACTTTTAAATATTTAAATATTTCTCATCACTAAGAAATTAATTTGGTACCTAATGACTTGGTAAAAAAAACAAAAAAACAAAAAAAACAAAAAATCCCCCAAAAGAAGAGAAAAAACCCTGATTAATCTGAAGAGGAACTGACATCGACATAGGGGGGTGAGCAAGGTCAGTAAAGTTTTCCTGGTTTTATGGAATATGAAAAGGTGAATTCATTTTATTAGTATTTCTAAAAATAACTAAAATTGTGTACAACTTCCCCAAAATCTGTATTCCAATGTCAAGCATAATCTTTTTAAAAGGGTTAAAGAAACTTAAGAAATGATATATGAAGTGTGTTGGCCTACATGATGAATAAGAATAGAAAGTATTCATCATGGTTGTAGGTCCTTCTTGGTTGAGCTGAGAATTTTTTGGCATCTCTTCCATAGTAGCATAGAGAAAACTACAAGGTAATGCAGAAAAGTTCTTTGCTCAGTTCACTTCCTAACATCTGACCAAATATAATTTTTTTTTTAAACATTCTTGGTCAGACAATTTTTCATCAGGTTTCATTTATTATTGAGATTTTATCCTATATATTGCTGAATATTAGAATCACAGACCAGTAGAAAAAAGCTGTTTAACTGTTTCAGCTTTCCATTGTGTATAATAAATTTAGTAAGTGATTGGACTAAAGCCCATCATTAAAATATGAAAATTTCATCCAGCCTGTTTTGAAGAAAGAGGACATTAGTTTAGCTTTAGAGAATGGAATTGAAATATATCAATAAAACTATTACTTATTGAGATTTCCTAAGCAAATATTAGCAGAGTAAATACTGCATTCGCTTGAATAATTTTAAATTGTTTGTCATTTGATCATTAATATGGAAAATGCATAATTTTGTCTATGTTTACAAGAAAAAATACAAATAATTATTTGTAAAAAAATTAAGTTTTTAAATAAAATGAATGAATTCCTAAACAAATGCAGACATTAATAAACACCTACTTTGTTATATAAAACTAGATAAAAAAATTAAATTAATAAAAGCTATAAATTTAGATATTAAGATATTTTTAAAAATATTTTGAGGTCAAATTATTATAATAAGCTATACATAACAAAAACCTTTTAACCTAATTTATTTCCAAATATTATTCTTTCTAACACTAAAAGAAAAAAATATTGGCTATAATTATTTTTTTCAATATAATCAGTAATTTTGAATATTACAATAATTAAAGGTGTCTAAAATTCAATTATCTGTAATCAAAAGTTTAAAAAAAAATGCTTACTAAAAATAAAATATATAGCAAAATTAGAGTTGAAATTAGTTAAAATCTAATTTGTATAATGATGCAGTTAAAGTAAAAATCAAACATTCAGATGCTTATTGTGAATCACATCTGGTCTTGTTTATGTAAATGTTGTTAATTAAAGTTGAATATATAACAGACAATGAATATCTATTATGTTTGATCATGAGCTGTTCTAAGCTTTAATTTCAGGAGAAAATAAAAATATGTGACAATGGTCATGGAATATCAGACGAAGGTTGTAAATTCGTGCAGCGATTCTATTAAACAACATTTCTTGGAAACACAGTGCCATTAGAGAGATATTAGTTGGTAATACAACAATACTCACACATACACACATTAAGAAGAACCTTCAGATATTGGAGGCCTTCTACATTAAAATATTTAAAACTAGTCACAATACATTACATTGTATCTGGTTTTGTTAATATTTAATGAAACCATAAAATATTAAATAAAACCATAAACAGTTTTGTTGTTCTCCCACGTGTCATGACGTCATAGAACTGTATCATGAATTTACAACCTGTAAATGCTATTCCGTGACTTATCACATAGCAAACTTCTATGTCAACATAACAGGATATCATCTTTGATGGCGAATATCTTTGTTGAAATGTCTATATAACCACTTTGATAATGGCTCATGTGAGCTGAAAGCTTAAATCAAGGAAGAGCATAATAAAAAAAAAAATATCCAAATGTTGGACAGTTTTAGTCTTTATTTTCTCCTAAAATTAAAGCAACTATATGAAGCTTAGTTCATGATCAAACATAATAGACATTTGTTGTTTGTTATATTTAACACTATATGTTTGAATAATGATCTGCTACCTCAATACACACACACACAATATTTTATATATATATATATATATATATATATATATATATTACACACACACACTTTAAATTATCTTTGATATAATGTGTGCCTACTGCTATTATTATATTTGATCACATATGCCCATTCAGCTATTTGTAAAATTCATGATGTTTTGATATATGAAAATTTTAATTTTGTTGTTAAATTCACTGCATGTATATTAAAAAGAAAAAACAAAAACACAACAGCACTTACATTACTTCCACAGTATTTGCCAATAGCTGATCCAGTATCAGACTTGCCATCATAAAGTTTCACATAGTCATACCTTAGAGAAAAATTAATAAAGAAAATTTAATTGGTCATTTAGCATTTTTACCTTTACAGAATTGACGAAAACATGACAGAAAAACAAAAAGGAAATAAATTCCCATTGAATCTAAAATATTTAGGTGAAGTGCAATATATACATGTATGATGGGTTGTTTAAGAGTTGGCCTGAATGAGAATTTATTTGTGAATAGAAAGAATGCTTAATGTTTTCCAACATTGACTATTCTCAATTCCTTAGTTTACAAGAATGTGAGAGAATTAAATTTAAAGAGTGTGAAAAATATGGCAGAAGGTGAAAATAGAAATACATTTTCTATGATAAAAATGTTGACTACTTACATACACTCAGACTCATCTTCTATTTCAAAGGCTTTGAACTCAACATAAATTCGCTGGTCGTCCTCTGCCTCAATTATCCAATCACAGTCCGCTGCATTATCATAGTTCTGGTCTCCATATTTGGCGTGTGAGTAAATGAATTTGGGCTCAGTCTTCGCCAACAGATGTCCACCACAAACTGAAAATTGTAATTTTTAAAAACAGGACTTGAAATACAAAAAAAAAAATAAATAAATAAAATTAATGGACTGTCAAAACTTCAATCAACTTTGACATAGATAAACTATGTGTGTGGACTTGCACAAATCACATAATGCCCAAGATTCTATAAAAATTGGTTTATTTTTCAGACTAAGTAAATAAGATAAGTTTTCTTTTCAAAAAGAAAAGATAAAAGATCCTCACTGATTCAATTGTTGTGTATTTATCTCCATATGTGTATATATTTGCTGTTTCAATCCAAATCATTTTTAGCTTAGTATACCTCATTAGTAGAAAAAACAACAAAAACAAAAATCACTATTTTTTTACTAATTTATAGAGGATATCAGAAGTTGGATTCCACAATTATTTTGTTTTCATTAGCTATCAATTACTTTTGATTGATAGTAATGGGAAATCTAATTGTTTAGGTTAATGACAGAATGTTACCTTTATTCATTTATGATTGCATAATAAGAATAAAGATGAGATTCTTATCTTTTGTAAAAGAGAAGTTTTCAACTTTCTCCATTAGCCTCTAGCAAAATATGAGTACTGAACAAAATTGCAAAAAATTTCTAATTTCTCATTTTTGAAATGCATCCCTTAATCAGAAGTATTTCCCATTTTGTCACAAATACAGAACTGTTTTTATCAGCCTGATATTAATAACAATCAAAATCATGTAAAACATTCTTGATAAGATCAAATGCTTTTTGGAATATAGCCGTTTTTATAATATTAAAAAAACTTGCATAAAACATTCATCAACAAAATATAAAAACCTTTTTAAACATCTCATCAGGTGGTAACACCATGATTCCCCATATATATATATATATATATATATATATATATATATTTGTTGATGAATACATGTTTTATGTTGAAACAAAAATGTACAATTTTGTAGTGGATATGTGCATGTTCAAATGTAACACTGCATAAGATAGATATTTACGGCTCTATTTTGTGTATTGAGTACTGTTTTAAAATTAATGTTCTGAATGCTGTAATCTTACCGTTTTTTCTTTTACACTTTGAGATTATATATATATATATATATATGAGAGAGAGAGAGAGTGAGAGAGAGGTGGGGAAGAAATTCAACAAATATTAGTGACAATTTTCAATGAGAAATGCTGAAAATAGAGGGTTGCTTTAGTTTTCCTACCTGACTTGATTTTTTTTAAATAGCCAGGCCATATTGTAATAGCACTAATTTTATTAGGAAAGGAGATGTGCATGCCGTTGCTTCTTGCAGATCAGTGAATTAAGTTTATTGTTAGAGAATCAAACTGAAGTTATGTGTTGAAAATCAGTTTTCTATTCAGTATTTTAGAAATCTGAATATACAGCAAAAGAAATGTTAATAGATGAAAGTGTAGAAAAGATTTGGCATTGTGAGTAAAAAGGACAATGCAGTTTTACCTGTGCTGTGCATAGCACTGAAGCCCTTCCTCTGGACGGAGGCATCAGAATAAAATATCATGAACATAGTATTGCCACTTGAGTAGGTGGGTGGAGGAATTTTGTTTCCACAGAATCGCCCCAAGCTGCGGCTATTGGTGCTGGTGCCATCAAAAATTTCAATGTGATCGTAAGTGCATTCCTGATGGGGTTCCAATTCAAATTCTTCAAATTCCAACTTGACTCTATGACCGTCAGTGACAGTAAATGTCCAAACACAATCCTTGCGGCTTGGATAGAAGTCTGGCCACTTAGGACTGTTGATATTACCTGAAGGAGTTTTTATTTGATGCTTACAACCTCCTGTAACAACAAACAGATAATCATATTGATATGCATCATCGTAACAAGTTTGTAGTAATCTTGTAATAGAAATATATTTATGGAGACAATGCTAATATTTATGGTATTGTTGGGCAATATGATCAGAGATGCAATGGAAGATTAATGCAATGAGATATTGAATATTGCATAAGGGAATTACATGTAAAATCACTTGAATAAAAATGATTGATGGAAATTGGGAGAAATGGCAAATGATGCGGACTTGTTTGATCTTTTTTGCTGAAAATTTATAAAATGTTTTAATAGATTTGAAAAATCTAGCTATACAAAAAATATGTAATTGGTTTGAAAATGACAAACATTAAAAGCATTTAGAAAGTTTTTATATATTGATAGAAGAATTGTATAAAGAAAGGATTTTAACTTTCTCCACACTTCCCTGTTCTGATTGATACCAAAAATCATCAAGAGATGGTCTTTTGTATTTCTTCCAGTAAATGATTAAAAAAAAAAAAAAAAGGAAACAATTTTAATAATTCATTATAAAATAAATTCTTAGTTACTATAAAATAATCAAAACATGAAAATTCAGCCTAAAAATTAATCAGTTCATAAAACAATCAGAAATCATCAAAATATTGAGAACTGAAATGTCTAAATTTTTATTTTTTAATAGAAGTTTGTATATAAATTGTAAAATTTTAAGATTCTTTCAAATCATTTTCTTTTTTTTCTAAAAGCATGAAAACTTGTGCAGATGAAAAGTTTTTTTTTTTAAGAGGAAAGGCTGTATGATGTGTGCTTTCGAAAGAAGCTAATAACACTTGTTCAAAGAATATGTATATTTCAATTAGAAGTCAACAGAGATGGGGAAAATGACAAAAATATCTGTTATCAACATTCTATTTAGTTTTATTTTATTGGATAAAATCTAGATAATATAATCAAAGCATTTCAAACATGTACACACACTTCTATAAAAGATATGAAATGATAAAGAAGTTACCAAATTAGAAGCTGTGTCTGTAGAGATTATGGCATTTTTATAAAGAACCAACAAAACTTGGCAATCAGAATTATGACTGAAGGTTATCATTGCTTGTTTGCACCTATTAACATCATTTTTTTTTTAAACAGCTCCTTTTGGAAGGAATAAAAAAAAAAAAAAAAAAAAAAAATATAAATAAGCCTCCCATGATACTAAAATTGAATTATGTGTTGTTAAGAGTGCAGAGTTGTTTGGGCACTATGAGACTGTGGTACAGGAGCATGTCTAAAAAAAAAAAAAAAAAAAAATATCCTTACAAGATTAAAAAGTTAAAAATAAGAGATGCTATTTTGGTATCCATTTGAATACAACTTAAAAAAAATTAAATATTTCCTAAATCATCCAAGAAACATACAGTGGAGTGTGTTTTAGGTTCAAACATTTACAAACTGATTAGCCTTGTACTATATGATTGCATTTAAACATTGAATTTGGGTATATAAATACAAGAATCTGCATGTAGACAGATACATCTAGCTAAAAATTATTTATAAAATACAGAAGAAATGAAAGATTTTGATAAAAGAAGCATATTTAACAAAGTTTACTTGTTTAAAAAAATGTGAAAATGATATCAAATAGATTTATTCCTGAATATAAGAAAATGACCATCATAAAATTTTACAAAGCAAATTACTGTAAATTGGTTTAACTTTACAGTCATTTGATTTTTAAAATTTTATGGACAGTCATTCTCTTATACTCATTGGTACGATTTTTATTCTGAAGTGAAATTCTTATTTTGTATGAATTTTAGAGTTCCATGAACTAAAATAATTCAGTTACCTTCTTTGCAATCATGTTTGTTTTCATGCAGAGTGAAACCATTTTGACAGGCACATTGGTAACTGCCAATTGTATTCCTGCAGATCTGTTGGCATCCTCCATTTTTTAATGCACATTCATCTTTGTCTGTAGAATAGACAAGTAATCAAAATTTTAAATACACTTTTTCAAGCATGTTTGAAAGAACAATTCCAATTGTTCCAGAATTTTGTATATCAAATAGAAAAATGTATAAAGTTTGAAGTATATGCAGGTGTGGGGGATATACATATTTGTTGGCTAATATCTAAAATAAATTTGAGATTTATCTTAAAGAAATTTTTTTACGATATGCTAGGTAATTGAATAACAAAATTGAATCAATTCTTCAAAAGGATTTTAGACTGAAATAATGTTCTTGTTGATAGAACTATGCATGTGCTTGATTGTCCATTCAGGAATATGAAAGGTGAGCATCTCCTTTTGGTTGAGATGACATCACATAGGTCACATGATGGCCACTTAGTGACATCACTTCAAAGAGTGATAAAAGTGTCTTTCAGTCAGTTTTCAGGAGTCAAACCAAGCAGTTGCCTTGCCAGGGCTTCTGCCTGAGGCAAACGGCTACCACATGGTGCAGCTTACTAGCCCATGGTACTGTTTTTCTATAGAAATATATCTTCAGTTTTCAAATTTGGGAAAAAACCCATGACTCACTGTTTCCCAATTTGTGAAATATGTCCTCACTAGTGACATAGCAGATAAATTTTCTGATGCCTGTTGAATGTGGAATCCTAAATATGTCTTCAGAAATGCAGAAAAATCTCTGGCAGCTCAAGTTCTCATTGAGAATTATTATAAGAATCTATCTTTTTATTCTCTTTTCACCTGCTTGTGATGTAGACATGTGTAAATATGTATATATAATTTTGTTCAGCTATTCAGTTCAATTCATGAAATATGGTGGTATTATAAAATAATGCCAATAATGGAGTGGGGGATATAAACTGTGAGAATATTCCTTTCTTTCATAGATCACCCATTACCTTTATATAGGGTAAGTAGGTGAAAATATAAACAGAAATGTCAGTTACAATTATACTGAGAGAGGAATACATTTTCAAATTAGTAAAATTACTACCGCTCTTAATCAAACCTGCATTCTTTAAGTCAAAACAGTGAACAACTAATGCATTGAGTGTGTTTATAGATCTTTCTGTTCTTTTATTTAAATTCCTATATTTTCTCTGAAATTTATTACAGTTTGTAGCAAAAATTCTTGCTTGAATTTTTTAAGTTAGCATTATTTTGTTTTGTATTAATTAAATCTCTTATTTTAGAAGTAATTGTAACAGGTTTTATATTATGCATCTAATTTTACTAAGATCTTTTTCTATTTTCGTAAATTTGATGAGCTTTACTCTTTGCATTAAAAATGAAGTAATTATATTAAAGGTGTTATTTGTTTATATTTTCACCCCTCCCCTTGCATGTATTCCATCAATAAGAACATTATTTAGACTGATGAAGTCCTTTTGAAGGATGAAATACATTAGTTTTTTCCATTTTGTCATTCAGTTATCTACAATATATATATATATATATATATATATATATATATATATACGCATGCATACACTAATATACATTTTGTTTCTCATCAAAAAACAAAACCAAAAAAAAACATGATAACATCTTTGTGAATCTGTTGTTATAAGTTTTGCTAACTACATTTAATACAAATTAGTGTCCAAAATCACAAAACCCAATTAAAAAAAAAAAAATCTAGGTTGGAAACTACTTATTTTTTTTAATTCTTTTCACAGATTAAACATTTAGAATTTCCTTAATATATGTAACATAACTTTTGTTATAAAGTTATGGCTTGTTTAATGGTGAGTAGTTAAATGACAAAATGACCTGGTTAATGTAAAAATATATGAAAAATAGTATATAACAAAGAAATCTAAATAAAATTACCCCCAAAACTAAGGAATGTAAGAAGGATAATTTTAAAAAGTGATCCGTTCACAATTGCTGTTTTATGTTTGATTTTAGAAGTTTTAAAAATTTGTTCTTAAAGTGAACTGACTGAAACGTTTTTATCTGGTTTTCATTGCTTTATAGTTTTTGTGAATTATTTATCTTGACATTTTGAGGTAGTCTACTATTCATTTGTCATATTACATTTCCTTTATTCTCATTTATCACTTGACTTCTGACATCCCTGTCTATCAATGTCTCTTACTATTTCACCTACAAGTTCTTTATTTTCTTTCATTGATTACTTACCAGTAAAAAATGTAGCATTGAACCCCGTTTTTTGGACTGAATTATCTGAACTGAATTCAATACGAAGTGAATTTTCAGAGGAAGTGATAGAATCTGGTAGTGTTGAGCCACAAAATATTCCAATTGCTTTTGTGTCAGAGTTTAATCCATTTGAAACTCTAACAGAATCATATTCACAGTCTTGCTGTGGATAAAAAAAATAAAGTGAAGCTAAATAAGGCTGAAAATTTATGATGTAGTGAAAAAGTTTTAGAAAATTCTAATATATCAGTAGATAACAAAAAAAAAAAATGAACTGAAAAATAAAATATGCAAAATATTTATTTCCTTAGAATTTATTTGGATTAAGTAATATTTGGTAACAAAATAGTAAGCAAAATTTTTAACTTATTTTAATTGAAATCTTAATTTTGAACAACTTTAAAGTGGATGGCTTCATCAAGTAAAAACATTTGAATCAATATTATTATTTCCATATTAATATGAGAACAGTATTAACAGAGATGGAGAGAGAGAAGGAAAATATAGATAAAGAATAGAGTTGCTCAGGTGTTTAGCATGAATTTAACAATATTCGTCTTAAATTTTTTTTTATTGACCTACCTTTTTTGTACTTGTAATTCTAAAAACATACATACTTTTTATTAAAAATGAGCAATTTTACAGTTTTTCTGTTCGCTTGTACTTAGAAAAATGGACATTTTTATTAGAGAATCTATAGACTGGATTATCCCCCCTTACAGTTATTTCCCCTTGGTAAGCTTATAAGTTCTGGTTTGGTTGCATAGTGGTTTTCTAAGCTTAGCTTAGATGTAGCACATGTATGGGGCACCTAGTAAGGATCGCACTCGCTACTCAGTCGTCATTGATCTAGCGAAACAAGCTTGCTAACCATTAAACTACGTCGAAGTGCCTCCTATTGTCTGGCACGTATTGTCCCAGTGATATCGGCTATCAATATTTGTTGTGTATGAGCTTAATGGGTGTTGTACCATGAAAATACTTTATTAGACAATAAAACTCAAATCATAAAAATTAGAAACTTGTGGCTTTAAAGTTAAACTTATAAAAATTTACTTAAGCTTAACAGTAAAAATATTTGCTAGAAATTAAGTTAAATTTATAGAATGTAAATAATATCAGTATTATAGATAATTTTATTCAAAAATGTCTGTGATAAAAGATGTGATCATTTTTTTGAAAAGAAAGAGTAATAGGACAAAGATTTAGTAAGTTCACTTTGTTAAATTTCTGTGTAATTTTTTTTTTTATTCCTTTTGACCAACAGGACTTATTTAAACAGTTCTCTATCCTATATTTAAATTTCTTGCATAAAGCAGTTATTAATTCAATTTCTTAAATCTTTCATTAAAACTGAAAATATGTTCATTTTCAATAGTCTTGAAAGACAAAAATACTAGTATCAAAGTATTTAATATTAAATTAACATCAACACCAATTATGTTTTTGCTGACATGTATAGGCCAATGAACAATAGAAAATTCTCACACTAAGGCAGATATTAACCACAATAGCATATGAAAGACAAAATGAAAAAAGAGGGACGTAATATAATTAATGTGGTTTAACACTTAACAGTTAAAAATATTAAAAATGTTAAGCAGTGAATGTGTTCATATCAGAATGTGAACATTTTCACTACATAAGATGGAGTTGAAAATAAAAATAATTACAGCAATATTGTTATGAAGCCGGCAAAATATTTTGAAAAATTATCAAATAATATGAATATAAACTGAAAAAAATTACAAGAAAAATTAAATTATTGTATCTAAAGTAAAAGAAAACTAATTATCTCAAACTAAGAAATTTCTAAAGGAAAAATTTATAATTGGAAATTAACTTACATTATTGCCTTCAAGATCAAAATAGGAGAAGTTGAGTGTAATTCGGTGCTGTTTTGGAGCCACAATCTGCCACACACAATACTTATTGGTTGGGTACAGGTCAGGGAATGAGGGGCTTTGGAATGTGCCATTTTCAATACTGATATAGCCCCCACAAGCATCTTAGAAAAAAAAAAAAAAAAAAAAAAAAAAAAGAAAGTGTGAAAGGGAATGAAAATCAGAAAGTGAGAAATAGATAAAGCTTTCAAATAAATAAAACCTTTCCAAAAACAATTAAATAGCAAGAAAAAAAAAAGTTCCTGAAGCTAAATAGCAAAACCAGGCTTAAAGAAATGGTAAAAAGAAAAGATTAAAAAAATATATATGGTAAAATAATATACCTTCACATTTCCTGCCATCTGAATGTAGTTCATAACCAATTTCACACATGCATTTGTATGAACCCAATGTATTCACACAAATATGATCACAGCCATGGTAGTCGGTCAAGCATTCATTATACTCTGTAGTAAAATAAAGATATTCAGTTTAACAATTAAATGATTTTAAATTTGATTTATATCCTATTACTGATTTTATAAACACATTCATATATATATATATATATATATATATATATATTGGCAGCATGTTTTCATTAAGATATGTTTCGTTTTATAGTTTAGATACATTCTGCCTAATCATTTTCAATAAGATACTTTCATACTCTCAGATAAGTTTCTTTTTTTTTTTATGTCATTACTGAAAGATGAGAGAAAATCGCAATGTTTATACATATTTGTTTTATTCCCAAGTACTTTGGACATATCTATGTCATCATCAGGGTATTGTTTATAATAAAATAAATATAGTATCCAGACACAAATTGTTGTTCTCAAAGTTAAATATCTTACAAATGGAGTGAGGAATGCCACGTCAGTGCATGACTGCTGAAACCATTTAAAAGGGAGGTAACTAATTATGGTTTGGAGAGTTTTTTATGACATGAGTATTAAATCGAGAAACTATTATTGTAAATCTTGGCATTTCAACTTATCTATTATATACATTTTAAAATATTTGTGAAAATTGAAACCAAACCTTAATAAAATTAATTAATATAGATAACTTAAAAAATTTTTAGTTTATTCTTTTTGTGAAAAGTATAGAGGTATTTTCAACAAGGATTTTTCCGAATTGCAAAGGTGGACAGGCATGTTGTTTTAAATGTTTAGATATGTTAGACATTATTCAGATGAAAACTTAGCTGCTGAGACAAACATGAATATTATTTTTACCATGGGAGATATAATCACCCAGATCAGACTTAAATTTATAATCAATGTTGGTTTTCTGCAACATGTTAGTGGTTGGGGAAGAATCATTACAAATGATTGTATTAGATATAGATTTAGTGTAGTATATAATTAATTTTATTTTTTTTATTAGGAACTGTGGTGGATATATTAGTTTTTATTAAATTTTTTAGGATATTTTCATGTTGTTAATGCATTTGGTTATGATATAAAAGATTGACATGTTTAGGGTTAGTTGAAGAAGTTTTATATTCTATTTGTTTAGTACAGAGATCTCTGATGAAGCATCTTATTTGTTCATTAACAATATAGTTAGGGAAGTTATTGATGAGAGTTTGTTTTATATTTTTTAGTTCACTGTACAAATATCTGTTTTGTGGATGAATTAATTTGTGCATGGTTTATTAGGTTTTTTATAATTGCTATCTTATAGTAATTTGGACATTCACTCTAATAGTTAAGGGTACAGAAATTTTTGCTTGTTGGGCTTTTATATGGGGAGGGATGGTGAACTTATTGTTACTAGTGTTTATCAGTATATGTAGAAAAGGAATTTTTATGCTATTATTAAGTTCATATGTAAACTTAAGGACAGAGTTGTCCTGGAATTGTTTTTGGAGTATTTCTTCCATATTCTTAACTAATATAAGGATATCATCGACATATCTTAGGGAGATGGAAGTTTTTTTTTTTTTAAATTGTTAAAGATGTTATTTTCAAGATTAGACATACAGAAATTGCTAAAAGTTGGACCAAGAATTGAACCCATGGAGACACCATGTTGTGTGTGCATATATATATATATATATATATATATATATATATATATATATATATATATATATATAGCTAATATTAGTGGTAAATATACACATACATATGCAAAATATATAAATATATATACATATAAAAAATTCCAAGAGGATAGAATCCAGGTAGAACTCAATGTCCAGGACAGAGTAAGGATATAATAAAACGGCTTAAACACTAATATTCCATGGTCATAATTTATTCCATTGGAATCGTAAATACGATCAAATTCATCAAACCTACAAATTCAAAAAGAAAATAGAAAAAACAACTCCAGAAATAAAAATAGAATTTAGAGAGAGTGTAAGTATGAGAGTGTGGGACAAATGTTAGAGCAAAAGAGAGGGGTAACAGATGAGAGAAGGTGGGAGATTAAACTTTAGAAGTTTTAGAGAGGTGAGTGGATTTTTGTGAGTTTTTTATGTTTATATTTGATTTGTAACCTGTAGTCGATATTAATTTTCTCAAATTTTCTTAATTACACAGCAGCCCTTTCAGTAAATGCCCTTCAGTTTTAGTTTTCCCCCTCCCATCTCTCTCCCCCACCCCTTCTTTTCTTTTCCTCTCCCACCCTCTTATTCTGATCTTTAAGATTAGATCGTCTATGGTGTGAGTATGTCACCACGAAATGTATCTTTAGACATCTGACAACATTCATATTTCTCTCACTTAAACCTCTTCCACTCACCTCTCTAAAACTTCTCTCTGTTAAGGTTTAATCTCCCACCTTCTCTGGAATATTAGTGTTTAAGCCTTTTTATTATATATATTATTTTTGTGATCATAGAATTAGACTTTGGTAGTGCAAGTTAGTAGCAGTTCCTGTAATATACTAGGCCTAATTTTGAGTGGAGGTATAGATGGATTATTGTTTATGTTTCTTATGTAAAGATGTATTTAATAAACATTGCAATTTTTATAACAATGCTTTAAAAATAGTGAATATAAATGCCCCAATATTAAATATGTAAAAGATAATGTATACAACCAGAGAAAAAATAGAAATAGAAAAATCATTTGGTACACACCCACTTTTAATCAAATGGTTAGCTGAAAGTTGGGGCAAAAGTTTCTTCCTTTGATTGAGAGACATTTTCAATAAAAATATGCTAAAATTAAGTTATAGTTGTACTGATAATCTAGAAAAAATTATATAAAAAAAAAAAAATCATAAAATTTTAAATAAACATTTAAACCTAAATAAAAATAAGAGTAATTCCAGAATGGAAATCAATAATTTTGTAAATGAAGTATGTAATTGTAGAAACCCTATAAAGTGTTCATCAGAAAATAAATGCCTTACTGAATCTATTGTTTATCAAGGCAAGATTTCATCAACTGAAAACCCAAATATTAAAAAAATTTATATTAGTAGCACAAAACTCTTAAATTAATATGGTGCCAGAATTTAACAACAACCTGTACTATAACTGAACATAGAATATTACATCCTTAAATGACCCATTTCCTCTGTGTCTACATGAAAAGCTATACATTAAGTTTCTTAAAATAATAATTTATTAAATTGTAATATGAACTTACAGTCATATGTAGGCATTGTAAAATGTTCGCCTTAAAATATAGTTAATAATTTTCACAAAAGTTATATTACATTTATAAATCCATTATTTTATTATATATTATGGCACATGTAATATTAATTTAATTTCTTGATTTTTAATTTGAAATTGTTATGGATTAAGACATAATGAATAAAATAAGAAGTGTATTTTGGTTCAAAAATATATAAAAATGTTTTAATTATACCAGAGGTCCCTTTAAGATATTTTTAAAGTACATGTTAAAATAAAAAAAAAGAAATTAAAAAATTAACCCATTGTCAGGGATATCTCTAAGAATATTTCTTTGTAACTTAAATGTATACTTTTGCTGGAAGTAAGGTGTCAAGCTGTTAATATAACAGTTCCCTGAGACATGTATGAATATCATACATCCCCCAACATCTAACTTTTAAACTTTTAGCGCTGACCTTCCTTCTGATTAGTTAAAATTGACACATCCATAAGACCTAAAAATCTGGATTTCCCCTTCATATTAACTCTTAAGTAAGCAAAAATATTGTTTTCTATTTTCAAATGTAAATCATTTTCAAAGTTACTGAACATTGCCTGATGACAAGACAAAAACTAAGTATTGAAACACAGAAATTCTCAAAAATGCAAAATATTTTTAATAAAAATATCATTAAAAATATTATGCTCCATGTTGCATTGAGCACTTTTTATAAAAGTAAATGCCAGAGCCAGAGAACTGTGGATTCTAGATCTGTTTGTTTTTTTTTTTTTTTCCTCTTCATTTGGCGAGATATATATATATATATTAGTGGACTCTCCCGCCGTATTTGATGTATGAGGATCAAGCACCTCACTTCCTAGGAACTGACAAGTCAGACACTAGCACATATGATCTGATTACAGTGATGAAGGCTTTGTGCAGAACCAACCACACTTTTTGAAGGGCAGAATACAGAGACTTGGTGTACTACATGCCACAGGGTCCCCAAATGACCCTATGCAGGTTTTAAATTCAGAATAGTCCTTCACCAAGACCAGTTGCCATCCAAGGCTATAGAACCCAGTCTGTCCTGCTATTTACTCATAGATGGAGGGAGAAGAGGAGGATTAATACCGTTCCCAAGAGCATAAGTGAATGTAATGGATTCAACTGGAATTTGAACTCAGCTCTCAGATTCCTCAATCCAAAGCGCTATCCACTACTATCAACACCACCATGCTTCCTATATATGTGTGTGTGTGTGTTCTCAGTGATGCATAAAGGTGTAAATGTTACCCCATCAATTGAAGCTATTTTAAAAATATTCCCAAAAATCAAAATGACATATGGCTTTGCTTTCTTATTCAAGTTCAAGAATTAGAAGTTTATTTTTTAAAGATATTTTTTCTTTTATTTTAAGTAAACAAACAACTAACCTTCAGTAAAAGTTGCTGAGAAACCTGCTTTTTGTACAGAGCCATCAGAGACAAATTTAACATAAAGTTGATTGCCACTAGATTTGATATCCTCTGGGACTTTATATCCACAGAATTTCCCCAGGGAAGGAGAAGTCTCATCAGGTCCATCTCTAATTTCAAGATAATCATAAACGCAGTTGTCATGATTTTCTATCTGAAAAGAACACAAAACATTTTAAAGAAAAAAAGTCATTTCACTCTTGAATAGTCAATAAAAAGATCATTAATCAGGAGATATATTATTTAAAAATATATTTTTAAATAATGGAAATAAGGGTGATATACAAATCAACCAGTTTTCAAATAAGTTTGCTAGTTTTATTTTAAAATACATATATTTGAAGTTAATCCTGGACCTGGAACCTTCATTGTTCTTAATTTTGTCTTATTTTATTTTTCCTTTTATCTTTATTTTCTTAGATGCATCCTGGCTGGTAGTAAAGAACCTGAACTCTCTAGTAACACTAAAGCTTTTCTGACCACCAGTCACACAATATCAGGGTTCTTGCTGTGCTATAATATGCATAGATAGTTGTCCTTGCAAGCATTTCCAGTGGGCAATTCTGAGGCAACACTATACGGTAGTTTGCACCAACTTCCAGTAGGTTTTGTTGCCTTAAACAATCTGCAGTGACTATTATTCTTAACCTCTTCCAGCTTAAAACATCATGACCAATAAGGCAAAACATAATAACCACTTCCAATATGAGTAGATAGGTTCACACTCCTCTCTGATCTTTTGAATAGGAGTAAATGTTTATCCCTTGTTTTCTGTTTAGAATTGGATTTTGGATTCCTTCTCAAGTGTTCTCATTTTCTGTCACTCCTAATAGCCCCTTGCATCTTGCTTGAGGTGAACTGATTTAAACAAACAAGAAATAAAAAAAAAACATTGTAAAGAGGTCACTTAACTATAAGCTGATATTTCATTCAGTGACTTTACAAAACCATATTTCAGTTTAACACTGAAAATATATATTAAAATCTAAATATCACTTTATATTAGAGAATTATACACTCACCAATGATTTACTAATTAGTGTTATTTTTAAAAAAAATAAACTGATAATTCTTCTCCAGATCTCTTATCTTTCAATAGTTTCAAACTTTGTTATTCTTTTAGATTTAAACTGACAGATAAAGAATAAAAGTATTTTATCTTTCAGTATTGCCCAAAAGAAAATAACACATTGCTGATTAAATATTTACCTGATATAGAAACCCTATAAAACAAGTTATACTTAGGTTACTTTATGGCATTTACTCGTCTAGAGTCAATGGTCAAAGCAGAGAGCTCCCCTGATGGAATCAACAGCTACATCTCTGTGACCAAAGTAAGTATTTGAAAGATATCAGCTGTGGTTTGATTTGGAGTAGGATAGTTTCTGCTATATCTACTTGCTCTACACATGAATGAATGAATGAAAACTTTCCATCCAATGTAGAGGGAACTGAAAGGGAAATGCTCAGCTGTGCAGCAATCCTATGACTACATCCGCTCATGGGACTGACAATGATAAATCAAGTCAGTAATATTATACATTTTAGTATATTTTTACATTACGGTGATGTGAAAGGTTTTTCGTTCTCAAACTTTAATTGCTTTAATAAGCCTCAGTGATTTGGTACTTGATAATCCAGAATAAAAATTAAAAAAAAATTAATGGGTGAAATTTCAATGTGCATGCATGACCATGATTGAATATTTTATTGAATTTAGTTTCCAAGGAAACAATCAAGACCAGATATACATAGGTATAAATGCTATCATATAGACCTGGACATAATCCTACCAAAATATGTGATATGTAGAGACTAACACAGCCTACAGATTGAATTCCATTAAAATTAAAAGTTTCTCTGGAAAGGCTTACTTATTTAGTTGGTATATAGATAAAAAAAATTAAAAAAAAATGTTAGTAAGAGAAAACATTACTGGTTAAAGTATTTGATAAAATAATTATCACTATACAAAACTTATTTAGATACCTAAATATAAAGTATTTTTTAAAGATAGTGTCAGTATGTGTGTGTGTGTGTGTGTATATATATATATATATATATATATATATATATATATATATGTGTGTGTGTGTGTGTGTGTGTGTGTGTACACATACAAAGAATTTGAATCATATTTATTATTCTTATTTCGGACTTATTAATTAGGTATTTTATGGTAGAATATGTGGCTAGGAAAGTTTTAATTCTAAGGTCCAAGTTTACCAGCAATTAAATGTGTAACACGTTTTTGTCCTATGATAGCAACTCTTATTTCCTATTTGCCTACACCTAGAAAGCATGAAAAATGGTTAATATTTCCTCAAACTTTGCTTTTGTGACCAGGATAATGATATTTCTGAAATTTACCTATTCCCATTGAGAAAACTGACAAATGTGAACATTCTCATTCATGCAAAGTAGGAAAAAAGTAACAGAATTCTAAAGTGGAAATTCTAGGATTACACAAGGGAGGCCACAAAAAAATTACAATTGAGTAGTTTCTCACATTTTACACTTATACTGTAAATTACTTTTATGAATAAACCCCCAAATATAATCTCCCATCATTTTTTAATTATATGATCCTTGGCAGTGATGTTCAAAGTGCAGTATATCCTGGTGGAGTATACTCCCATGTTCTACTTGAATTTATCAAGATGAGTTTCAAAGATATGAACTTTGAGGGACATCCTGCAGATAATTTTGCTGTAATTCTTCACTGTCTCAACATAGTTTTCGGTTTTGTGATTCCCTAGCCCTGAACCACTGAAAAACTGTCCCCACACTGCTTTCTCAATTCAAGTGAGCTTCTTGGGGGAATTCCTTGCACTCTATGATCTTTGTAATCCAACAAAGACAGCTTTAACTTTTCCTACAGACAGCTTAGTAAAGAAGTCTTGAAGGTTGCAGACTCCTTATTGAGAGCTATGACAAATTGTTTCATAGGGCCCAATTTAACTGCTGTGGAGGAAACAATATTTTCTGAAAGTTCAAGAGTGGTTCCTATTTGACATTGTTCCTCTCCACACTGAACTGTCTGCTATAGCCAGTCCTACCTGTGGTAGTGTGCTGTGGCATCCCTGCTATCCCAAAGGCAAAAATAACATGGAATCTTGGTGAAGCCACCTCAGAGACTCATCAGGAAGGCTACCATTTTGAAGTCCCCAATAACCTCCCAACCATACTCTTCATATTTCAAGCCATCTAGAAAGATCTTGACATTTCTGTATTCATCTTTGAGTTGCACCAATGGGAAGAGATGAATACATATTCCTCTTATGCAGCAGCATAGCTTTGAGGCATCTAGAAATCAATGACCCAGTTAGAGATCTTGGTCTCACAAAGGGGAGATCAAGATCTCCGATTAGGTTATTGAGGTCTTTTTGGTTGGGATAGTCAGTTGCACCTCTAATCTGGTTCAATGACTTCATCCTCTTCTGTATAGTTGTTCTTACCTGAAGATGGCTGCTCCGTTTTTTTGAAGGAGTGAATATAGGGAGCTCAGGCCAGTGTAACACTAGGGTGATGGATGACAGAAAGTCTGAACATATGATAGCAAGTGCATTCTTGCCAGTTGATCATTTGGAAGGGTATACCATGCAGAAGAAGCAATTGCTTGAATGGTCAGTTGGTTCACTTCAAATTCATGGGATTGCTAATTTTGTGGCTTTATTTTCGCCTCTATCCAGGTCACAAAAGTTTGAAGAAAATAAAAGTGAGTTCCTTTGCTTTCTAGACAGAAGCAATTAAGAAATAACACTTACTGACAAAAGACAAAAAAAAGAAAAAGTCAAAATTTTGTTACACAGTAACGGATATGTTTGTAAAGACATTTCTAGAGTTCCAGATTTTTTCATGTTTATCATTCATATGTATCTTATTCTTATATTTACAGTTCATGTGTATATAGAGCATTCTTTTTTGCAGTTAATAAGAAGTAGGATATTGTAAGGAGTTGAATGTGTTTTCAATGTATGTAATTTAATTTCTTTATATAATATTTTAAAGGTGTATTTAAGTAGAAGTTTATTTATTTATAGAGATATCATCAAAAACAAAACAAAAAATACTTTAGTGAAGTTCTTTTCATACAAGTGAGTATATATTGGGTTGTAATGAGTAGAGATGTCTAAATATTAGTGATTGAGTACTGTCAATCATACTTTTGGTTATCAAGTGTAATGTAGCGGTGTCACCTTGCTTGTGTTCAAAGATTTAAAATTCAGCATATACCTTTTACTTTACGGTGATGTTGCTGGCATCAAGAAAAGTTAATTAAAAATGAAACTTATCAATTATATATTTTTATAGAATTATATGCAGAAATGGTGCAAATACGAGTGTATATGTATATCATGAATATATTTTGCCTTCAGGTTTTTTTTCAGATAGAGAACTGGACAAAACTAAATTCTGAGTTATGTTAAATACATGCACATCTGGTTTAAGATGTAAAAAAAGAAAAATTATCGAATGTTTTATTAAAGATTTCAACAAACCTCAAATGACTGGAACATTAACCCGACCAAATATGCTTTAGGCACTGTGATTCTCCAAACACATTCTTGATTTGCTCGGTAATCATCAGGAGAATTTGGGCTTGTCAGTGTACCCCTGCTTTTGTTGATGACACCACCACAAATGGCTAAATTGATCACAAACAATTAATTTCATAAAATATATTGTTCAAAAGTTTTTGAGTCAATACATTACTTTCAGCAATAACTAATATGCTTTGATTTGAAGTTAAAATTTTTATAAGAACAGAATGGAATGAGAATAATTTAAAACATTGTAATATTGTAATTGTTTTATGAAATAATTTTAAAGTGTTAAAGTGAGAAAATTTTCATTTCAGTAGTATTATTAGTTAGGTTATAAAAATAAAAGAATTATTTTTTAACACAAGATAACATTCAGTATATTAAATTTAGATATATTGGCACATGTTGAAATGTTTTTAGAACTAATACCAGTGGTATGATCATAGCATGCACTTGTTAAACATAAAAAAGCAGTTTAAATTTTATTATTTAGAAAATATTATGTAAACTTTATAAACAGGTGATAAGGATCTCATTTTACAGAAGAAATTCTGATATCCATATAAAGATTTTATGCAAAAGTAAATTATTAAAAATAGTTTTAAAATTTTATATATGCAAATAAAAAGTAAGAGCATCAATATTTTCATCAATAACTAAATTTATTTAAAAGTCAATACAGCTAAGTTCATCTATGTGTTTTTGTTGTGATGTCCTCTCTCATAAGAGTCTATCTTAGACTCTTCTGCCTACTATAAGATTAGTTGGAGAAAAGGCTTCGGGGAACAGTGAATAGATTGAACGTTAGTTCATTCGATACACTTGCACTAGTCATGTAATACTCTTCTGGCGTACTTACTGTTTAATATGATATATCTGCAAACTTGTTTTTTGTTATTACTTAACCATTTATTTGGTCACAACAGTTTTTTTATTCTTAAATTCTCATGTTCAATATTTAGAAATTGAATTCACTTTAACTAAAAGTCATTATTTTTATAATATATATATTTTGTATAAGATATATAATACAAAAATGTATTGGCACTGTTAAATCACAAACTGATGATGAAAACAAAACACAAACCTTCATATTTAGCTACAAATCCTTCACCTTTTTTTTGCGTGGACACAAACCGGAGCCACATTCGACTATCAGTTGACTGAAGAACACCAGGGACAGTTTTTCCACAAAATTTCCCTGAAGAAAAAAAGATAAATCAAATATATATTTGTATATTCATACCCACAGATCATGCACATGCATACATCAGGTATTTTATTTCAATTAAAGGATAAGAACTTATATAGAAGTTCTTTTGTATATTTGTAAAAAAAGATGTATTTTTCTGTTAATGTTCTTTGAAATTTGTATTCTTTAAAAAAAAAAAAAAAATTAAACAAAAAATTTCTCATACAAAGAAAAAACTTTCAGTTACATCTTAATCCTAGGATAAAATAATCATTTGTTAATATTTACTTATTACAGATTTTAGACATTAAATTGACTCATAGTATAGTTCATTTACTAAGACCTAAAAAGAGGTTTTAATATATTTTGTGAATGTCAACTATAAAATAAGTTACCCATTTGACATTGGGAATGTAAACTTGTTTCTTATCTAACAGTAGGATGCAATATTAGTTTGAAAAGCATTGATATTTTATAATTGTTTGAATTCTTTCAAGAAATGACTAAGCTTGAAAAGTTTGTTTCTTTTTGGTAAATGTATATTTAAACTATACTGAAGATTTATCCCTATTATAATAGCACAGAATTTCAGCTATATTATTTGAGGAATTTTGTTAAATTGCATTGTTCTGATTTGGTGTTCCAGCCAGCTGTCACCTTGTTTTCTGTGGTCAACCTTTGTCACAGCTGCTTCACTTCAGGTAGATTTTATTACAACTTAAGCTCAAGTGAGGCTGGAGAAAGAATGAAAGGTTTCACAAAATGTCAACTAATTATGAATAATGATTGAATAAGTATTCAAATTATGACCAAGGAGGAAGGAGAGATGATCACTAAACTTGCAATGCTAATGATTAAGACAGAAGGGATTTATTTTTTCCTTTTTAAATAGTAACACAATTTCCGGACACATCATAATTTATGAGCCACAGAGTTCAATGGATCATTTTACTTTGAATCATTTATATTATTTATGAATAAGCAGGAGAACAGCAATAATCCTAAAATTGACCAACAATGAAATTATAGCAAACAAGATTGTTCTTTATTGGAAGTCTAGACATTTGAGAATGATTCTTACACTGTTCAAGTAGACTTGATATTTTTAGGAGCATATCAGGATTATACATTTATAAAAAATGTATATTTATCAGATATTCAGGCAAAACAGTGTTGGTTTTATTTATTTTCCTTGATTTCATGTAAAATAAAGACCTTTCCTTAATCTGAAACCGGAGATTTCTTTATCTTAAAAGAAAGTTCAAATAGGTGCATAGAATTGAATCCAGAACCCAATGGCTTTCAGTCCTTTGTTCTAAAATTGAATCAAACTACCTATTGTAAAGTAGATGCTAGTTAAATGTTCATTTAATGAGATTTTTTTCCTAGAGGAAAAGAAATCCTAAACCAAGTTAAGAAAAAAAATGGGTCAATGTTGTAAAAATTAAATCCCATTCTCAGGATTTTTAATACCAGTGTTGAAGCCTATCTTTTGACCCACTTTCGTGTCACCAGTTAATTTTCAACTATGTTGTATTTAAGCAAAACTGATAGAAAGTGTGGCAGTTATTAAAACTAAATGAAAGAAAACATTAATTCCTGTTAAATTGCATATGATAATAAATATAACATTACAATCAGCATGCCAAAAATTGACATAAAAATGTTAAATTCAAAGTTTGTACTTATATATCTAGTTCAAAGTCTTTAGGAATAAAAATCATTTTATAATCATAAACATATACAGTGAAAAAAAAAATGTACAAAAATTAAACTTAAAAGAATTATACAAACATTACAAAAACATCAACACTAATTTTTGAGATAGTAACAAAAACTGGCATTTTTGTAAAGTTAAAAGCTTAAGTAATTTCTTACTCCTTTTTTACCCCCACTAAAAAATAAGTAAATTTTCAGCAAAATAATTATAAATCTAAGCAATTACATTTGAAGTAACCCATTAAATCTTTCTACCTTAGATTTTAAAAATGTATTAGAACAAAACTATCTTAGAATTCCAATGATTCTAACATCAGAATTTAAGGCAAGAGGCAACGATTGCCATTCAGGCAAAAGGCAATGTTTGCCATTGCATTTAAATTCTTGAATATCAATTTTAACTGGAATGTAAGAAGCCGGAAGAGAGTTCAATAAACAGGAAGGGCAAGAGAAGAAACTATTTGCATAGAATGTACAGTTACATCTAGCCATTTCAGGTGTAAAATAATGAGAACTTGCTGCCAATCTAGTACTGCATTTAAATAGTTTTTTTTTAATAATTTTTAAAAGTGTCAAAGATTACCAAAAAATACTTATACAGAACAATCTAAACAGATTTGTTGAGCTTTATAATTTCCATATGAGAAAAGAGAAAAACCAAAGAACAAAAGAACATCTTTTTTTCATTCAGAAAACAGTGGTATTTTGTTTTTTTAATATAAGATTAACAAATCAGAATTTGCTTTGATTTCGATTCAGTCTTTATGTTGGGATCATTTTTGTCACATGGGATGGAAACTTAAATCCCATTACCTTTATTTTGGTCCTTTATCAATTGTGCAAGAGCATAAAATTAAACTGTTTTTTTAATCATTTCACCTCAAGCAAGGCTTGAAAGTCACTAAAATGCAAGGGGTTACTTAGTATGAGAGAATATAATGAAAAAGAAATAAAAAAAAAAAAAAAAAAAACGTTAAGACAGAAGATAATTGACATTGCATTTAAATTTTTGAAGATCAAATTTAACTGAAATGTAAGAAGCTAGAAGAAAATTCAATAGACAAGAAGGGCAAGAGAAAAAACTGTTCACATATAATGTACAGTTGCCAATTTTACTTTATTGAACTGATCTGACTATTAAGACTGGAGTAAATGGTTGTGTCGTCAGCATAGATACCAAGTTGAGACCTGATGCCATCAGGAAGGTTGTTCATGAAAATTAGGAACAACTATAATATACACATGAAATCGTAAGGTGACTAGAAGTCTATGTTCGCTCAGGCCTTTCAAAAATCACAACAGAGAATTGTGCAAAGGGTCAACTAAACAGGTGTTGTAATTATGACTTTTGGTCACTGCAATATGAACTGAAATGAATAGTTGAAGTAACTTTCCCAGCGTCAGCTGCACAATGTGTCATCTTTTGTCTGTCATCAGGACCTCTATACATGAGACGGTAATATAAAACTTTAAAAACATTATTGTCACTGTTAGGAAAAAAGCAGGAGAAGCAAAAGTAAAATTACTTTCTCTGACAATTTTCAGTGAAAGGCACATTTTTTTTAAAATTTCACACATTGGATCATTTAATTTTGCTAGAAAAGTGATAGGAAAATGTACTTAATGTGAGATTTTTCCTTGTGTCTTTGTAATTTGTGTTCCACTTCAAACCTATAAAACTTAATGTTCTAGAAATAATGTTTCTTTGATATTTATTTTCTGTGCATAGATTTCCTGACAACTTTCCATCATTTTTCTTCTTGTTTTAACACAAGACTATGGGTAATAATTTCAAAATCCACCTCATTTTACTAAAAAAGATTTTTAAAGATAATTTAATATAAAAAAAAATATTTACATTATTTACAGCCTGATTAATGTCCTTTCAGCTGTTGTGTCATATAGCTTTATTTAGGTGTCTGTTAATCTGAGAGACCACCAGAAAATTTTAAACTCAAGTCTTCATTTACACTATGAGGATAGATTATTCTCATTTAGAGAATTAAGATTTAGTCTTAAGAATTAAGACTAGAGAATTAAATAGTTGGTTTGTGAATTTGGTGACATAATTGTGAGTTCAATCCCCGAGGTAAGTAGTATAGATTCCGACTCAGTCAAAAGTGGATGAGCAGTACTAAAAAAAAGAAAAAAAGAACAAGTTGAGATATCCTCTCTAGATGTAGACATTCCTTCATAAAGTACCAAAGACAAGTAAATGTTACCCAACAATGCCATGGTTTCGGACTGTGTGTCACGAGTGAATATCCTCCGGAAAATATTACTCTCCAGATCTATTTATATGAAAGCAGAAACTGTATATCATTTTTGTTCTTTGTTTTAGGGTGGGATGTACAAACTCAGTTGAGCACTTCATGCTTCCAAATTATAAGATCTTTAAACTGTTCTGCATTTTTTAGTTTGTATTGTTTTTCGTGTGGAACATTAGAACAAACATATATATTCCACATGCAAACACAGGCTATGTTTCACAAGAGTTTCCAAGATAACTATTGTATGCAGATTAATAAATAAATATAGAAACAATTTGTAAATTTTTTAAAATACAATTTTCTGCATTATTTCCACTTTTCCACTTGCATTTTATTTACATAAAAATAAGCAAAATGCATTAAACTTAAAAAAAAAAATTCTTTTTAATAGAATAATTAAAAACTTACCCAGTTTTGTTGATCTTTCATAATATCCATCTCGCACTTCTAGATAATCTGTCACACAATTTCTAGATTCAGGAACATCCAATGATGTGATATTCAGAACAATTTTCTCACCATGAGTGGCAGATATTCTCCACTCACAGACTTCTCGTTCTTCTGTTCGCTGCTGATTAGGTTTATGAGAAAATTCTCCTGTTGCTGCCTGCAGCGTACGACCACAAGCTAAAAAAAAAAAAAAAAAAAAAAAAAAAAAAAGTAAAAGGTAGATAAAGATCATGCCCAATAATGGTTCTGTTTAGTATAGAAATTTGCAAATTTTACAATTTCTTTTAAAAACTGCATTGAATAGGACAGAAGTAGAATATTTGAAAAAGGATTTAAATTGAATATTATACCATGTGTTACATACGCAATGTGCATATGTTTTTTTTTAACTTTATTATACATTAAAATGTATCTTACTCATTGACATCATAAAATGTCAGCTATCATTATGCTTACATAAATAAAAAAGTTTGTAAATATTTTCTGGTAGTTTAGTTTTAGATAAGAATATTTAAAAAATTGTTAGATTTGTATCCAAAACATAACTATATTGTTAGTATTTTATTAAAAAGTTTTTTTTTATCTTTCCATGTTTAAAAAGCAATTTTCTACTTTTAGATATCATGAATGATTATATTGTACAAAAAAATAAAAAGCAGTGATGTGGGAAGATGTAATTGTAAAATCCTAATTACTATGATTCTATGTTTAGTTAAAAAAAAATGATCAAATATTTGCATAGACAGGTTAAATGAATAAATTAATGAAAGCAGCTTAAATTTACTTACATGCACAGCGATAAAGTCGATTGGCCTGTCGAATATCTCCTGGACTCAATTTTATTCGTTGACCAATATCTCTAGTGCCATATTTACGCTTTGGCAAAATGGTATCCACAAAAGTGGCACGGGCAAATGTATTTCTTGCATAATGCATTATACTTCCATAATCATATTCCTCTCCTAATGAGTTAACATCAGCTGGTGTGAGCTTGTTAAAGTTGTATTCTTGTCCTGCAACAAGGGAATATTAACATTATCAATATCTACATCAGAATTGCAGTGACTAACATTAATTAAGCTACAGTATTTGAAAAGTGATATGAGGCAAAAAATCTGTTGAAGTCTTGTGGCTCTATGTGAAATTATCATTAATTGGTTTTTATGGCTTATTAACCCATTGCAGATTATTCAAAGCCAGACAATTTTTTTTAGATTGTATGAATTGCTTTTTTGTGAATGATTTCCTGATACAAGTCTTACTAATTAACCCATAGCTGGGGGAGAAGAGTTACATTCATACTTTTCCCAAAGGTATTTGTGCATAAGTGAATATAATAAATCCAACTGAAATTGAACTTGGCTTGCTGATTAACAAGTCCAAGCGATTATCCATTACACCACTTGCACATCCAAGCTTACAGCACCTGGTATTCCCAAGTGATCACCCATCTAGGTACAGACCAAGTCTGATGTTGCTTAACTTTGGGGATCATACAGGAACCAGTGTTTTTAATGTGATGTAAGCATTGTGGAATTATTATTTGAGGTTTGACAAATTAGTAGATTAGTAAATCAACTGTTGGAGAGCATTCCTTATAGCAGAATGCTATCCCATTAACTTACATTAATGACCAAAAAACTTAGTTGACTTTATGTAAAAAAATTTTGTTTCAAGGATAGAAACTAATCTATTCAGGAGAATTGTTTAAAAAGCAAATTTTAATTAATAAGAAAATCTCTTATTTAATTATCTACAAAAGTTACATGCCAAATTTATTATAACATTTTTAAGCATAAAGGATATTTATAATATGTTATTTATAGTATCAACAAGGAGACATTAAAAAATTTTCAGATTTGAAATTCTGAGTGAGTATGGTTTTCTTATATGTTGCAAAATAGATTTGGTACAGGGATGATTTAAAGACAGATTAGTTTCAATCTGAATATCATTCAGCTGAGGGAGAGGGAAAAAAAAAAAAAAAAAAAAAAGAAAAAAGGTCTGTTACATTGCTAAACATATTTGATTTGTGCAGAGGAATTGTGTGAGTTAAAAATACTGGTGGAGATGGTGGGCACAGAATAGAGAAATACTTGAAAATGGTAGGCTGCTACCAATCAGAGAAAGTTGATAGAAGTTCAGTTTTTTTTTTATAGCAATATCTTAGATATAAAACATTAGTTTTACAGAGTAATGATGTGAATGCAAATACTCTACCTGGCATGATATTTTTATAAATAATCTGTACATGGTCATCTCTGTCTGGTCGAGTGTGTTCATGCCAGAATCCTATTACATGACCCAATTCATGAACCACAATTCCAAACTTGTCACAGTTCTTGCCAATTGAAATAGCCTGAGCACCGTTGCCTCGTTTGCCAACATAAGAACAACACCTAAGAATTAAATGAAAATATCTTCATAATTTTTATGCAGAAATAAAACATTTAGAAAAAAGGATGATTACAGAACATTTTAAACTTTGAAATTAGAGTTAATGTTATAAAGAAATTACACACACACGTGTGTGTGTGTGTTTGTGTACAAACACACACTTTTAAGATTTAGATCATATAAAATTTTTGTAGTTTAAAAAATCAAGTTTGGGAGAATGGAAGGAAAATAGCTAAAATAAAAGACATGAATCTGTAAAAATATTTTGATGGGAGAGTGAAATATTAACTGCTATACTGCAAAAGTTGTAAGGTATTAGTGGTTATCAACATGGAAAAAAAAGAGTAAACATTAATGAACTTGGAAAAGACATGAATCCACTTATTTCTGTGATCTGTCCAGTTAGATATTTTGATGAAATGTGTAGTTGACATACCACAATGAGTGAAGATGAAAGTGGGTGAGTAAATACTGACAAACTTTTCTGTAATAATAACTGTCTGAGAGTTTATTATTGGAGAATGGAATGGTGGATGCTTGTAAATATGTCTGATTCACTGACAGTTATGGTGGTGAATAGATTTTCAAAATCTAGCAACATGCTTACAGACATATGTTGAAACACTTGTTCTTATCCAATCACCAAAGTTAAGCAACGTTGAGCCTGGTCAGTACCTATATAGGGAATACCAGATGCTGTAAGCTTGGATAAGGACTCAGAATGAGAAATTTCAGTTGAGTTCTTTACATTCACTTACGTGCAAATATTCAATGTTATATAGCCTTGGTTGCCTACCATGGGAATTCTTCTGCCAAATCAATCATGAATTGAAAAAAGACAAGTTTGTCAAAACATATCATGTATGGTACCAAAGAAAGGAAGTGACACCAATACATCATTATTTAGTTTACTGCTTTGGAGATTTTGTATGAAGTTTTAATACAGAAATTATACCCTATTTACAAGTTAAATAAGGTTTAATAATTGGTTGTTTTGGTAATAGGTATAGGACTTTGTAAATTAATCTTTATATGGATATATAACTTGGTTTATATTTGCAAATGATTTTCTAAGAAAAAAAAAAAAAGCCCCCACACACAAAAAAAAAAAGCCCAGCATTAATAAAATCTCAATTTAAGAAATAGTCTATATATATATATATATATATATATATATATATATACAAAAAAAAAAAGAAAAATACAATGCTCAAAAACAGAGCATATAGGTGCAGCCATATCAGCATAAAATATTTGATAATGGCTTATGAAAGCTGAACATACTTAGAGGGTATTGGATAATTTATCTTCATACTTTGCATGGAAACCATGAAAATGATCAAAGAAAAAAAAATTTTAAAGAACTCTTGTTGGTCTTCAGTCAAATACCAGAGAGAAAAAGATTAGATGAAATTATCAAATTAAGATTTTACTACCTTTATAAAGGTAAGATTTATGTTGTTTAGATGTTAGTTTTAAATGAACAGTTTTAATTAGGATTTTAAATTTTCTTTAAAAATAGAATTTTAAACCTATTGTCTTTCAAATCAAATTTTTCTAACTGTTGATAGGCCATGTCTACAAAGTTTAATTAATGTATAATTATTCAGACTGTAGATTCTTGTTGATAGGGAATTTTAAATTATTAAATGATTCATATTAAACTAGTCAAAGTGCCTTAAAACAAAGCACTAAAATCTAATTTCCCTCCCTTACAACTACCTTTTTAAGAATTCTGGATGAGACCAAACAGGAATTTTTGTTTTCACACAATCTTAAAATGTTCATTTCAAATGGATTAACATTTTTTTTTTCTTTATTACTCTTAAACTTAAGCAAGAATTTGAAATCTATGCTTCCATTCTGAGTATACAAACAAAGCTTATTACAACTGTTCCCACAAGAGATAGAAAAAAGATAAAAAGTTGGGTTACATAAAGACCATTTATCCTATGGTCTTTGAATTGCAATATCTTAACATTTGACAGAAATGGAAACTGTGGAGAGCCATGATTGCAAACACCTGAAGAGAGATGGCATTAACAAAAACTTCCAGTGTTATAAAATCTATAGATGTGACACAGCATGAAAGCATACAAAAGAGCTACTTAGTGACTTTATTACAAATATTCAAGATAATATATTACAAGAAATAGTGAGTGAAAGACATGATTTACTTTTTATATATTATGCCTAAATTAATTGCATCACTATTGATTAGTCTAGAATCAAAGTACAGAAAATGGAAACCAGTTATGATATTTCAATTGGTTTTACTGTTAAAAAATGTAATTTATCATTGAAATTTCTTCCGTATGAATGAGCTGACTTACCCACAAGGTCTTTCAGTGAACACAATATAATCTTCATGTTCAGGTGTTCGTTCAACAAATGTTATACATGTATGATTTTCCCAATGCCGCATTGCTAACCGGAACAAAGCTTTATGAGGACCTGAAAAAAACAAAGGTAAAATTCAATATAAAAAAAGTTTTTCAAATTTTTAAAATAATTTAAAGTTATGATACTACAGTTGCTTCCTCCATATCTCATGGCTGAAGGGTATTGCTGTCATTAATTTCCATCTAAAATCATACATAAAATTACATATAGACATTGGTTTCTCTTTAATATTCCATTTGTGAAATTATCAGAAAAAAAAAAACAAAAAAAACAAAAAAAAACAAAAAAAAAAACAGTTTTATCTGATGATGTAAATGAGAGGAAACAATTCAAATTTTCTCATGGCATCAATTTTTTGATATGACAGAATTGATTTGTAGAAATGAAAAGGAAATTTTTGTATTTCTTTTGCTATGGTTTGGAAAAGAAACATTTGATTTTAACTAAAACTTAACTTTTTTAACGTTAGAAAATTCATATCTTTCCATTTATTTGTTAACATTTTCCTGTTATTTTTTCTAATTCATTTTATTGTGATTATTAAAGCCAATTAACTGTTAGATTATACTTTATTTTTTATTGCTGTGTCCACTCTTTCAATTTACATTTAGCTGTACACAATGCATCATCCATTTTAAGTTGTCATAGCTTGAAACCTTTTGAAATCTTACATAAAGCTTTGAAGTCTTTAGGTCTAATGCCTTATGCTCCTCCTCACCTGATAACTATTGCATCTTTACAAATTCTGACTTGGCAAAGATTAAACAATAATCACATGCTGAGAAAGATTTCATATTTAGGTGACAGCTGGGGGACTCAAATTACCTACCATTGGGGCCTTTGCCTGTTTCCTTTATCTTTTGTGCCATCAGAGAACAATAAATCTTACTGCAAAAGAGCAGAATAATTTCTTGGAAGATTTTAATATATTGAATTGGTTTCACTTGACAAGAAACTTGACTTACAAGTGCGATGACTCATTGATTTGGGTGGTGGGTTTGAGAGAGAGAGAGAGAAACTCTTGTTGATAATTTTTTGTTTTAGCGGAATCTGAAGGGAAAAGTGTGATAAACAATTGTAAGTGTGTCTCAAAAAGGATATGAATAAAGGGAGTTTTCACTTTGTCATATATATCTCAGTCCCAGGTTTTCATAATGTGTTGGAAAGGTTCTCTGCTTAACTTTCTAAAATTTGACCAAATGAGCAAATGTCAGAATTTATATAAATTGATGTTTGATCCCTTAGTTTAAGAACTTTTTAGCACCTTGTACATAAAAATATAAGAATATATAGTGAACAGGAATGTTCTTTTTTTGCTACTTCACACAAATTTGTAGATTATAACGAGGAAAAATTTAACACTCACCTTTTATCTTTTGCATGTTTCTTTAATCCCATGTTAAATGTATTTGTATTTAGTGGGGGGGGGTGCACAAAGTCTACAGTTGATAAGAAAAGTCCAATTTTTTTAATACCATCATGTTCTTTTGACTACTGATTTGCTGTTCATATCAAATTATCACAAATAACTTTAACAAGTATCCATGGCGTTTGAACATAATTTTGTTTCATACATGACTAAAATTTATGATTATATATATATATATATATATATATTTCTGAAATGTGACATTTCAACATGTATTTCAATAGGATTCATGTGTGGATTGTGAGTTCTAAATGTTTTAATGTAAAAAGTAAAAATGGAGGAAAATGAAATGCATTTTCATCCTTTAATGCTCTTATTAAAAGGAGAAAAAAAAACTGTAGAAACAGCAAAAAAAGATATGTAACATTTATAGAGATGGTGCCATAGCTGAAAATACTGTTCATAAATGCTTCACTAGGTTCAAAAGTGGAAATTTTGATCTGGAACTCAGAACATTCTGGCTGGTCTACAGTTGTTGAGGATGAAATCAAAATGCTAGTTTAAAGTAATCCTGGTCACACGACAAGGGGGTATTGCAGAGAAATTCCACATATCTCATGAGCATTGTATAGTATTTGAAAACACTTTGATATGCAAGTCACTATGTTTTGTTGACTCACAATTTAATGGGGAAAAAATTTACTGGACTGCATTTCCATGTTGAAATGAAGCAAAAACACTCTTTTAAAGAAATATCACAGGTGGTGAAAAATTGATTGTGTTTAGTGTGAAAAAAGTCCTGGGGGAAATGAAATGAGTTACTGTTAAGCACTTCAAAAAGGTGGTCTGTATTTGAAGGAGGTGATTCTTTATATCTGATGCAATTGGAAGAGTATCATGTATTAAGAAATCCTTCTGCAAAATCAGATGTTGAATTCAGGCAAGTTTTCAAATGGTCAGATTAAAGACAGCAATTGATGGAAATTGTCAGATTATTACAAAATTCTCTTAATGAGAAGAACTTCAATTTTCTAGTAGCCTGTAACTTAGACCATTTAATTACCCAGAAAGATGCCATGTTCTGGAAGGATGGAATCATTCTTCAAGATAATGAAAGGTAGTGGAGCAAATGACATGAAAATCTATGTGGTTGAATAAATCTATGTAGAAATATATTCTTTGAAATTTAAAAAAAAAAAAAAAAAAAAAAAAAAATGAAAAAAAAATGATTTTGTTCCAAACCATATAACATCACACAGCAATTGGATAGTATACCTATATTAATAATGAGTAATAGTGTGGATGCTATGAAACTGGAATATTTAGATGGCAGATATGGTTATAGAATTTCAGGTTTTATGGACCTGTAAATATTCTACAAGGTTGTACTTACCACTAAAGTTGGCTTCAATCTGGTATGGTATAACTCCATATTCCCAAAGTCGATCCTGTCGTGCTGTTGCTGCTCGTCGTGTTCGCCAACTTCGTGATGCTTCAGACACTGGTTTTTGTTTGGGGCTATTTTTCTTTGTTGTATCTTTACTTTTCCTTTTGTTACATTTTGGATCCCTGTAAACAGAGTAAAGGAATAGTTGTGAAATTAAACTAGAGAAAAAGAAATGAGAAAAATAAATTGGTAGTTATGTACATAGAGGGTGATAAATTGCCTAAATTATGCAAAAATGAAAATAACACTGACATCTTAACTGATATATTTACCAAAATTACACAAAAATATCTCTTTAGTATTTAAATACTAAAGAGTAAGTTTATTTGTTAAAATCGCCATTGACTTCACCCAAGGCCTCCAGATGACTTCGGAATCTCCTGCAATTCTTCTGGACAGTCTCTTTGTTTAAGTTGGTGAATGCTGCAATAATCCTTACCATCAGTTTATTTTTGGTGTTAAAAGTAGTTTTGATGGTTTCTCAGTCAACTGCGCCCTACACATAATCAAGGATGTTGTAGTCTGTGATGTGGTCGCTGAAATTGTTTGACAGCCATGTGTAGATTCTCTTGCTTGGTGTGCATAAGTGCAAACTCCTGTTGCCAGATATTCCTGCAGCCACATTCTTGACCCAGGGCAGCAATAATACCTCCTGAAGGTACTTGATGTCGGTCTCTGTTTCGAGTCTGAGGCCATATCGGAAGATGAATGGAGGCTTTCCCTTCGTAATCACCATTCGATTCATCCAACTCTTTGAATCGTCTGCACTGTCCTCAGATTGACACCCTGAAATGTTCTGGTACTGTTCTGTACTGTTTGCATGAAGTTTCCAGATTTCTGGCAGAGTGAATTGTGTCATGGTGATCTTTTTCTCACAGACGGTGCCCACTGACCCTAGTGCAGTCGACAGAATCAAAAGCAAAGAACGCGCAGGCGCAAAATGAAAAATATAAAATGGCGACAATTTACCCATCGCACTCTGTAGCTGTCAACTTCAAGACACTGAGAAGAGTTTAAAATTTCAGAGAAATGTTTATTCCCGATATTTGCCTTAATATTCTTGATAGTGTTTGACCTGTAGAATTCGAGAATAGTCTGGAGAAAATTGAATAAGGGTTTTTCATTCTGTTTGAACTTGATATTTCAAAAATCCTTTTTCTAAGATTACAGGGGAAAAAACGAAAACACATAAGTAAACTTTTGTAAGTGTAGAAAGCATGTGTTGAAAATAGGGTTGACCTTTCCTTCATAACTTCGTTACTTGTAAGAGAATGAAATATGAAGTGTTTTAATTTTGTAAGTTCTGTCAGCTGTAATTATAGATTCATCTGTTAAAAATATTTTAAAATTTTACATTAATTTTTCCATTGCTTTTGAAAGATTATGTTAAATAAATGTTTTTGATCATCTTTAGAATTTGATGGTTACCCTTTTTAAGGTATTTTTTTAAGACTTAAATTTGTCTTGAACCATAAAGGGTACCAATGTTGGAAAAATATTGCCAATGTAAATTGCATCAGACCCTTTTCTTCAGAAAAGGTTTTTTTTTTAACCACAAAAAATTAATTATATTCAATAAATCTGGAAATTTTCAAGTGATTCATCTTGTTTTAGTCGAATCGCTTATCACGACCAGAAATATTTGATAAATAAATATCTATTGAACTTAAAATTTATATTTCGACGAACGAACGAAAGCTAATTAAATTTTAAATTTAGAATTCTTATGTTATAGTTTCGTTAGGAACGACACAAGATTTAAATTTAGAATCAGTTTTTTTTTATAAATATATAACATTGTTATTGAAAATTTAGTATGGAAATCGTGCGTGGTTCAATGGTTAACGTAGAAATTGATTTTCAAAACAAAAAAGCGACTTCAACAAATAAAAGCTGAGGGACTTTCAATTGAATACTATTCTGTATATTAATTGCTTTTTGGTTTTATTTTAACTTTCTGTTACAAGTATAATATCCCTCTTTTCAGAAATGTTGTAAATTAAAATAAGTGCTACCTTCTTATTTTTATGACAATTCATTTAAATAATAATGGAAACTGAATAGTTTCAATGTGGACCCCAATTTCACATTAGTCAAGAAGATAAGAAGCAGTGAAGTTTTAAAATAAAAATATGCTTAACTTCTGATAATAACTGATTTCAACAATCTTACTACATTTCTCACATTGCAACTCGCATGACAAAGACATTACTAAAAAAAAAAAAGGAAAAGAAAAAAAGAAAAGCCCTTTTTATGGAAAAATTCTCAAACGAAGTTTTTGCTAGATATACTTACTTACAACTCGCCATCAAATAACTTTAGTTTAGAGAGGCACTGAGGTACCTCCAAAAATTCGTATACCTAAGGTTTATGTATTTTTCAGGAAGGGAAAATCCTTTTTGATGCTTTCCCCCAGTTTCAAAGGATTAATTTTTGTAATTCAAAAAAAAAAAAAAAAAAAAAAAAAAAAAAAGAGAAGATTTTTGAGCCAAATTTAGAACGTGTTAGACAGGAGAAATTTTTTTTTGAAAATAATTAAAAAAAAATACTTTGTTCTTTCCTCTTAATAATAACAAATATTTGAAGTTAAAACTGTTTTTAAGTTTGGGGCCTTATCATGCTATACTGTTTTTTTTTTTTTTTTAGAGTTACTGGAGGTACGTACCTACACGAGACGAAATTTTGCTTTGAAGAGTGGACATAGATTGTAATTTACGAGCAGAAAAACAAAAGGTTGTGTGACTATTACATTAGCGATATCTTTAATTAGGATATCTAACCATATAAGGCAACGATTACTTGGAAATAAACTATACATACAGCATATGAACAACTCCAAAGTTTAAAAATGACGCAGTAAAAACATTGTTTCTGCCATGCAGTCTGATACTGTTACTGTTGTTATAGGGTCCAGCATCTGCTTCTCTTCAGCATTAATAAACGAGTTTTTTTCAGATCTTTTTGAGCAGTTTGTCACTGCAGCGAGGTGCGATTGTTTGGTTTCAACCGATATCATCGGCTCGTGATGCTCAATGTAGTAACTGTGGAAAGGAATTAAGGTTTGTCGTTCTGCTAGTCTAATTCTACTGCTTTACCAAAGTTGGCTAATATATTTGCTGCTGCTCCTGACTACTTTTCTAATGAGAGTTAAAGTTAATAGTATTTCTATCAATGCTTTGATTCATATCTAGCATCCCAGAAATCTTCCGGTAGATCTTTATGAATGTCTTCTGTTTCATACACCGAACAGGTAGTCATGGTGAAATGCATGGGTATTGCATTGTTAACCTAGAACTTCGGGAAGCTGTCTATAATGGATTCAAATTACAAAATCTTTGCATTCATGTCATTTCAACAATATTCCAGTATTGAAATTCCGTTCTGTCTTGAGTATCTGGATTGGTTGCTGTTAATATTCTATCTTTCTAACCTTCCATAACATCAAACTAAACCACTAGCAATGAAATCAAGGTGGTATTCACGTGAAGGTAGGAAATTTCGTGATTCAGAAAAATGTAGAATGTTAAAGGAAAATATATTGAATTTCCGTGGAAGGCTCTGTTTCTCATAAGAAGAAATTGGTAAAAGTAATAGTAAATGTTAGTAATAGATTACCGTCGAACCTTTGATAGGATAGCGAGATTGCCAGGAATTAAGTTCTTTGCAGTACATACTGTCAGGCTGCGATAAAACCAAGAGAAGTGACAAACTGTATTTGAGGGTGGAAATCGCCTTTATCAGTTTTGCTGAATCTCTCTTTGAGTGACTTTCAACTTCCAAAATATTCAAAATATTGTGATCAACGTCAATTTGGAAGGTACTTTCGTTTACATAGACAATGATAATGTGTGGCCGTGATAAAGTAGAGAATGATATTAATCTTAAGTGATTTATGAATGGTATCAATAAGTATAACATCCATTGCACAACAGCAAATGTAGTTTTGGTTTCACCTTGATTAACTTGGCTACACTGTATGCAATAGTTCAATGACACCAGACCCTGAACGACATTTTTAATGTGCTAGTATTGTTTGCCCATTACCGAGAGTGGATTGTATCAATTCTAGATAAAGATACATGCTTTCACTTATCTTTTTTGATCTTAGGTATGAAATCTTTGAAAACTAAAAACAAAATATTATAAATTTATATTAACTGGCTCTTCTGTTCAATTTGTGGTGGGAAATAAATTATCAGAATAAGACCCGTTTAAATACTCTTGTTAAAACATTAAAGCAATGGAAACATTATTTAATTGGATACCTTTTTCGATTTGTCACTGACCCGAAGCCAATTGCTTCTATGTGTAAGTCACAAACCTCAAGTAAAATTAAAAAGAAAATAATGAAATAGCATATGGAATGTTCTGGTTTCATCAATGACATTTCACATAAGGATAATGCTGCTACTAATGCATTGAGTGTGAAACTCAATGCTAAATATAGGCTTAACTATGTAATAATTTGTGCCATACTGGTATCACAAAACTGGTACAGTTTGTATGGAGCAAGAATTTGTGATAGTCCTTTGCGAATATCAAAAGGATAACGGTCCTATCTGATCTTGCTCAGAGTTAGAACTGCGATTTCATAAACCTGAATCAGAAAAAACTTTCAACAAACGTAATCAGCATTTATCACTAAACAAATATTTGGGATTTCTTGTACTGATCTAACTGCAACAACCATTATAAAATTCCTTTACTTCTTGTTTTCCATCTTAGATAGACATCCTGCATCTGAACAGTTTTTATATAAACGAAAAATGCTTACAAGCCGAACACCTATTCAAAATTCTCACGCTAATTGTCAGGTGGGAAGGTGGAATGAAAAAAAAAAAACACCCAAAAACCCAAAACAATAAATAAAAAACAAAAATAACAGTCCTTGGCACGCAAATCAAGAAATGAGAAGTTCTTCATAGTATTAGATATTTGCTATGAACCACCGTTAATGCATGAGCATAAATTTGCCTATAGCCGAGGTGCGCAGAAAAGCCACACCTACCTGTTTAACTAATTTGTATAAGTATATAAAAAAAAATATAACCCTTTTGTGGATTTATGCCATTCCTAAATATGCATATATTAAGTTTCGGGATGAGAAGTGAATTATTCCTCTTCTTAGTTATCTAACGCGATTTTCCTCCAGTTCCTATCCCACGAACGCAGGTGTTCCTTAAGGCTCCATCCTAGGCCCCACTCTATTCCTTATCTACATAAATGACCTTCCTGACGCCGTAACTTCCCAAGTTGGCATCTACGCGGATGACACCACAATTTATTCTTGCCTCAAAAACAAATCTAGTCTCGCTGACAAAACTTACTTTGCCGTGCGTCTCGAAAAGGACCTCCAATCGATTGTGAACTGGGGCATGAATTGGCTGGTCAACTTCAACGCTTCGAAGACAAAACTGCTCTCTATTAATCACCACAGAGAGCCTTCCCTTCCCTACATTAGAATGACTGACGCTCAACTTCTCGAGAGCAACTCTCTGCGGCTTCTCGGTCTCACGTTGACTGCTGACCTGAGATGGAATAAATACATCGAGTCAATTGCCTCGTCCACTGCGAGGAAAGTTGGCTCCCTCAGCCGCGCTAGGAAGTTTTTCTCCCCTGAGTCGATCCTCCAGATATACAAATCCACAATTCGCCCTTGCATGGAGTATTGCTGCCATATATGGTCTGGCGCTCCTTCTGTTTGCCTCGGTGTTCTTGATAGGCTCCAGAGGCGGATATGCAGTATGGTTGGCCCTGCCCTGGCGTTCCGTCTACAGTCACTTTCTCACAGATGCGTCGTCGCCTCCCTCTGTCTGTTCTACAAATACTTTCATGGAAATTGCTCCGAGGAGCTGCATTCGCTGGTTCCCAGACGTCATGAGTTCCAGCGCCCTACGAGGCTGGCATCCCGCTCTCACCCCTTCACTGTCGAAACTCCTAAATGTAGCCGTCTCTTCTACTCTAATAGCTTCATGTCTCGCACCTCTCGCCTGTGGAACTCCCTTCCCTTCTCCTGTTTCCCTGTGAGCTATAATCTCCAGCTATTCAAGTGTAAAGTCAATCGACATCTCCAGTTGCCTTAATCTATCCACTACCCTCATCCTTTCTTCTATCACTCCTATCTGATCTTGCTCTAAATTTTCTGTAACCCCTTGCGTCCTAGTGGCTTCCCGCCTTGCTTGGGGTGAAATGCTTAACCCCCCCAAAAAAAAACCCAGAAAAAAAAAAAAAAAAAAAAAAAAAACTAGAAACTACTTTATAGCGAAATCGAACACCCTAAGAGTACGGATTTCGATGACAAGCGGGACAGTTTATTCTTCATCAAGAGGCATCAGAACATAAATTTTAGTTTCGCAGTTAATATAGCATTGTTCAGCGGCTGCGCCAACAGAACAGTTTACGTAGAAAGCTCTGCAGTTGCTCTAGCATGTACATTTAAAAGGCTATTTCTTGTAGATTTCAGATTAATTATTCAAGCTGTTTAATGTAAAATTTTGTAATGAAAAGGCAATTGTTTAATTTTATGAGCATTTTGTGTGTTTATAATATTTTACATTGTTTAACGAATAAAGGAGAGAATGTTTTATATTAATTACTTCTAGTCACCGTTGTAGTACTTGGTGCTATTTTCACTTCATATTACAAATATTGTTTTTCAGTAGGAGTTAGCAAGTACATTGTGTAAAACTTCCAAGTTCATAATTTAGTTATGACAGTCGGTTTAGCTTTAAAACAAAAGTTTATGGTAAAAAGGTCAAATTTGTAAGATACAAAGTTGCAAACAGCCAGCTGAAAGAAAAGTACTTATAAAATATGTGATAATGCATTAATAACATCAACATTTACAGAAGCAGTCTAAAGTAAACTTAAGAGATTAAGAGTATTTTAGTTCTACTTTTTTGCTAATTAAGTTGTTGAATATTTTGGTTCAAAAATAAAGGAGTGTCAGATTAATTGTGTAAATCTCTACAAGCTCACGTATAGGTATTTTATTTTTATGTTGAAGAAGTCAGTTTTTCTTCAGTAACGTGGTATAAAGTTCCCAATTTAGGCTCTTCTGGTAGACTCCATAACCAATTCCAATCACGTGAGAAAGTTTATAGATTGTTGGGTGGCGGCTCTCTTCATGGATGTGTCCACGAATTATTTGCGCGTTTCTGGCATTTTGCGAGCGATTGGTTGCAGCAGAACGCTATTCATGAACCGGTATTGTAAAGCGTGTGCCACTTAACATATGTCCGACAAAATCTGGGGAAACATTTCTATGGTCTCACATGAATTTTGTTGGAATTTTAAATCAATTGATTCGCTAAGATTCAAGCAAAATTTAATGCTGACAGGTTGCCAGCTATTGGAGAGTCGTTTCAGCACAGTGTTACAAAACTTCGTGTAATAAATCTATTAGCACAGCAGTCTGAGTACCAGTGAATGTTAGATGCACGTTTATTACCGTTAAATGGTACAAATACAGAACGCACATTCCATAGACTTTTCGACATCATAATCATTCATTTATAGTCTTGTTGAAATGACTTAAGATTATTTGTATTGCCATTTCAAGTAAAGTCTTCCTTTTTTTTAATGATATGCTTTGTATTGAAAACTTAGCATCAGTAAGTTGTCAGTCAACATTAGACTGACACGGCTGAGAGTATAATTTTATATTAAAAAATTAATGTCAATAATGTTCCTTGCTTTAATATAAGGTTAATTGGATTACTGCAAGGATTTCTAGAAATAACATTTTATGGAGTTTTATTTGAATCAAATGTTATAAAATAAAACAAAAAAATTACTTTAAGCAATAGTTTTTTTGTAGACTTATATAATTCTTATATCAGTTATTTGGACACACAAGTGACATTTATTTGTTAGAAAAATGGTTAACTATACAGTGTAACCCGGATATAAGAGAAACCCGGATATAAGAGATTTTCTCCGGTCCCAAATTAGAGCCTGTGTTAATGTATATAAAATAGACCAAACCCGGATATAAGAGACTTCTTCTCCGGTCCCGACAACTTTCATATCCGGGTTACACTGTAATATAATTTTATTCAGAACATTTCGGGAAAATGGTTGACATTTTCCCTACTTTTCAACGATTCACTCGATTAAACATTAAAAAAAAAAAAAAAAGATTGATGAATTAATATGAAGTAGAGTTCTGAAAATTTATACCCCAAGGAAAAAGAATAAAAATGTGTGCCAGTTTGCAAGAACATTTTTGTATTTATTCCTTAGCAAGTTGTAGAAACACGCATCTTAAAGTGATAAGAAAGAAAAAAAACAACAACAAAAAAAAAAAACAGAAAAGATCTGTGTATATTGTAATGATATTTACTATTAAGATACTAGTAACAGTATCAAACAGTGAAAAATATTTATGGACACTTAAAAGGGACACCTTATTCTTTAAAGTATTGCTTGTCTATATTTGAAAAAGCAATTAAAAACAATCTATGGAACAAGTGTATCTTATCAAAGATCCTAATTTAGTCTTCATAATCTACCATAAAATGTTTCTGATTGTTATATATTGCATCCCCCCATGTATTTAGCTCAATAATAAAAGAAATATATTATCATATTATGTATTGTTTAATTTTTTGTTTTTAGAATTCGGTTGGCGTGAAAGTTCGTTTCGTATAAAATAACAATTACTTGCATTTTTTTTATTTTTTTTTTTATTTTTCACGCTTCAGGTCCAACAAGCATTAAAGAAAAAAAATGCTTCTTGTCGAACATTCAGATGTTCACTAATGAAAACCTGGCTACCATCAGAGAGCAAGTCCGTTGTAAATATTTTATGTGCTTTTTCATAAATAGAAATATTTCTGCACTGTTTTTTAAGATTAAATATTTTCAGGTTTAATTAGTACATCGTTTTTTTAAAATCTTCAGTGGATGTTACAATTGTGAATATGAGAACAATAATAAAAACACATGATAGCATCAACTAATGTAATTAGTTGACGTAATCTGGTTACCAATAACAACGACCAACAAATTGTTAAAGGATTCATTTGGCGTGTCAGCTCATGACTAAAATCAGAATGCTGTTTTTAAAATTTAATTTAGATAACTTCAAAAAACATTTCTAAAAATAAAATGTCAAAATTTATATGCAAATTCCTATTAGAATCTATTAGTTTTTGTAACCATTTTGTTTTCGATATTCCACTGCAAAATTCTAAATATAAAAAGAAAACGTAATGATCTCAATACACTGACATCACTTTCAGTGAATGTAAAGAATATATTGTCTTACTTTTTACGACACCTTTTTCTTTTTCTGTGACTCCCTTTGTTTTTTTTTCTTGGTCTGCGTTTAGAAACTGGTTCGGAAATTTTTCTTGGGTGTCTGACATTAGGGTCGTCCACTTGTACTTCAATATTGTTGTGCCACATCTTCATAAGATCGTGAACATCATCATCTGTCAAGGCAATGTCGTTGATGAAACCCGCTGTGAATGGGGAGAGAGAGAGAGAAATAGAGAAAGTTGCAGAAAAAAAAAAAAAAAAAAAAAACGCTCTTTACTGTTTTTTTTTTTAATTTGGAAAAAAAAAAAAAAACAAATGGCACAATATTAAAGAGAAGGATACATTCCTTGAAATTTTATTTCTCGATTTTCTTACGATGAAAAATATTAGATCTACACATTTATGATGAATCATGTGAAGATAATGCGTAGTTGTTCGATTAGAAAATTCACTTTTCTTTGCAAAATGTTTTTACCGGAGAAATATACTGAGGTTGAAACATTTCAAACACAAACTCTGTGTTTGGCTAAGGATAAATACATTGGACACATTGATAAAATTTTAAATGTGAATATGATTTTTTTTTGCATGTTGGTATCTGTTTTATCGCCTGAAAAACATTTCATCAACAATTATTTTTTTTTACTTCTGTGACGGCCTTTTATAAAAAGCCGTTACAGTCTTGAGCAAAAATTAAAAAGAAATGACAAATGAAAGTAGAAAATTTATTTCTGTAAATAATGGAATGTAATATCAAAACGTTTCAGTCGTTGTGTCCTCTGGCCTTCATCATATGAGTAACCTTCAAGAAATTTCGAACTGGATTCTTTATTTAATCTACGTGCTAGATTGTTCGCGTTTCATTTCCAGAGATTCCAAGTACAAACTGCCAGGCGATGGATTGAACTCATAAAATCTATGTTAACAATTTACGAACCAACGCTTTAATCCACTAGGTTTGGAGCCTTAAACCTTAATGCATTTCCTACATGGAAAGGATATATGGATAAAACAATAACATGTTTCAGAATAAACGGTTTGTAGGTGAATTAAGAGAGTAAATCAAAATAGAAAAGAAAAAAAAAAGAAAAAAAAAAGAAAAAAAAGAGTACTACAATAATTACTTTTCTCGCAGGATTTATTTAAACTGGACAATGAAATGATTATAATACTATGTTATCGATGAACGTAATGCAGACGACACTTATATATATATATATATATATATATATATATATATATATATTAGTCGATTCAGGAGGAAAACCGAAAGACAGGATGAAAGAACTATAAGACAACGAAATGTATGGTGATAAGCAAAACGGATAGCCAAGATGTAGTTACATATCGACGTCAAAATACAACACGTACAGAAATTCAACTACTTGGCTATTGTAATAAAAGTCGACGGGAAGTGTTACAGAAATTCAAAAGGGCAGAGAAAAATGTAAAATATTTGAGAAACTGAATAAGGTATTAATAAGTTGCGACACCGTTGGGATTGAAACGTGGAATTCTGGAGTAATGAAGGGTGGATTAGAATGGAAGACGTTACTGTAAGGGTTTTTTAAAGTCGCCGAATTATTACAGTGTATATGTGAGAGACTGGTTGTCCCGGTAAATTTTCTCGGGGCACAATAACAATGACATTGCTGGTATATCGAAGGTTTAAGTTTTTTCGACCATTATATATATATATATATATATATATATATATATATATATATATATACACACACACTTAGCCAATGTCCATACGTTCTGGATCTATATGTATCTAACGTCCCTTAACATGGTAGTTTGCCTATTTTCATATACTTTCGGAGTTTAAGGTCTCCAAAATTCCGAGCAGGATCCGTATGACACTGAAGACTTCAGCATGTTTCTTTGCTATGTTCCTCGATCAGCTTCTGACAGTCACTTATATAATAATTCTATCTACATGAACCCTCTTATGTAATAAGCTAAATAAAATAATTATTTCATAATATACTATTAGAATGTTGAATTTAATAATTTTGAAAATTTTCCTACCCTACAATTAAATTTCTTCTGTTCATTTTTGGAAGCGGTACTGAAGAGTTTTCGGGCCAATCCACTTTGCTAAATATGACGAAAAAATCTGATGTCGGATTAAAATTTATATTTTTAATCTCTTTTCGGTTACCGTTCTTATTCCTTCAAAGCAGGAGTGACTATCCTTTCATATTAGATGCCCCTCCATTTTTCTATAAACAAGTTCAGATACAAATCTTGTACTCCCATGAATTATAAAATATTCAATAAACTGAAAATTTCGAACGACTTATCTGGTTAGCTGACTCAAGGATTTCGCATCGAAACACTCATCAGGACCAAATTTTGATAAATTTATTCAAATTATTATTAGACCCCATATTTACACTCTTTCTGAACGAAAGTTAATTCTAACTTTCAAAATCTGAACACGTTAGTTTCGTTAGAAACGTGCCAAGTTTTAAATTTACAACCAGATATTTTTTTCAATCTAATTTCATTATAATTATTATAAATATGTTTAGCGTTTTTATATAATCTATTGATTTACTATCAGAACAAGGCAAGTATAGTTTTTGATATTTGAGCAGGTTTTGGTTTCAAAATTTTAATGTTTGAAGTTCAGTTAGTTACTAAGAACAGAGAACTCTTTAAATTTTGAACACTCAATGGTAATTTAAAATTTTTTAAAAATAAACTCAGTTTTTAATATGAAAATAATTTTTCAAATCTGTAGCTTGATCCGAAATTTAAGATAATTGTAAACGAATTTTTTTTTCTAGGTAAACATCATAAGAAATTCATGTTAGAAATATTTGAGATTGAAGATAAACTTCATTTTCAATAATGAATGTGTTTAATTCAACAAATTCCGTGTAAATGTTAATAGGCATATTCATGAATTCACATTTATTCATTCGCGTATGTATCATAACTTGATTATTTCTAGTTTAAATATATTCATACATTGTTATTAAAATACACAGTAAGTGATATACTGTATTTAATGGGAAATAGTTCCTATAACACCCGAAATGTTTTCCCTTAAATCTACGAATTCAGAATTAATTAAGCCAATCCGTTCATTTGGGAATATATGATCTTCAGTAGAAAACTCTTCTAAATTCACGAAGAAATGGACGTTGAAATCATAGACCAATATGAAAATAAAGAGGGAACAAGAAGTTTTGTATTAGCTGCTGTAAGACTTGTAAAGAAATTATCATTTTAACCTTAGGTTACACCTAGCAATCATTTTACAGAAGCGAATCAATAATACTCCAGTGTTATATTTCTAAAATCCCTTTTATCAAAGATGCTAGGTATAATTTTGAACCAAGTGAATGCGAAGCTCAAATTTTGACTAAAATTCTACTAAAAGTGCCCTTATCTTTTCTAAAAATATGTATTAATGATTTAATATATTAACTATTAGCTTCGAGAAATTTTTATTTCAGGTTCGAACAAAAATTGATTCTCTATGTAATCCCAAGTAAACGAAGTTCATATGATTTAGCTTTACAGACTGGCTATTAAATACAAAGCTGTCGCTCGATAAAAGATTTTTTTACGTTTTGACACCTTTAAACTACGAAAAAGTTTCTTCTTGAAACCCATTGATAAAAACATGAGTGTCTAACTATAAGCTAGCACATTAACACTTGTGAAAGAGTTCAATATGGAAACGAAATATATTTATAAGTGTCTATAGCTTTGGATTTAGATACACAATATGCTATTTCTTTATTGCATTGTACTAGAAATGACGGTGTTCTGCGCATTGGATAGATCGGGATAAAGCATTAAATTGAAACGTTTACGTTCAATGTTGGACGTAAACGTTTGATCAAATTTCCCTGATCGCAAAATGATTCTAAAAAACTTGAACAAACTGGGTTATAACACTATCTTACCCATCATACTTCTGTAGAAAATGATCACTTTCATGCATCCTGACAATTTCCTGCGAGAGATTGTCTTCAATAACTAAACAGGATTATGGACATATCACGTTGAAACACGGGTCCTCGCACGATCACCGAAGTTAAGCAACGGCGAGCCTAGTTAGCACCTTGATGGGTGATTTCTCGCGAATTCCAGGTACTGTAAGCATAGATGGATGGGTGGTATAAGGGACAAGGGCTTGGAATTTGAAATCTAAAAGCAGAATTCTAATTTTAGTCGGGTTCGTTATATTCACTTACGTTGAAATATCCCCGGGAAAGATATCAGTCTACCTCTTCTCCTCCCAGCTATGAGTTAATTAGTAGGACTTGCATCAATAAATAATTATCATCTCTCCCCAAAATTCTCACAATCCAAAAATATTTTCTGGATTTAAATAACCTGCAAAAGGTGATAAGCCTTAAAAACCCAAAACCAATCAATCAATCAATCAATAACTAAAATCCAGCTTAAACGGTCTTTGCAGAAGGCATCAGTTCCAAGATTATACGCTACCAAAATAAATTGGCAACATTTTAATTCAGTTTAATAAATTTTATTCTAAGCTGCTTTAAAGTTGATAGTTAAAAACAAGAATAGTGTTTGCTCTTACGTAATATATGTGCGGGTGTCGGAAGCGCATTTTAACGGAGGCTGCTGACTGAATGTGTGTGGCTGAAGCAATTCGTAGAAACGTTTGTGAGTGAGTGCTGATACGTGAAATCTGATTACGGTGGTTCCAAAAGGAAATGGACATACGGATAGATGAGCAGATTTTTTTCCCTCCACAGCTATGAATATTTCTTTGAGTTGTGTGAATATTGCTTTGAATGGTGTATAGTCGTCGCTGACAAAGGTGTTGTCATGGTAACGAGAAAACTCTGGTTGGGTGCTTACAGATCTAACCGCCTGTCAGCGACGAGTGATCGCACGTCCAGCTGCTGACTGGGTCTTTGCTGTGTGTTTTTATTACCCCCGAAATCTGTGCATATATAGTTATTCTAATCACATGATTAGCTTCAAACGAAAGCTTTTCGATTTACGCGGTCAGATCATTTGGAGTTCAAACGTACGGACGTAGTTGGAAACATAGCACGTAACTGTTACCAGTTATTTAATTTGGGATCCTTTTTTTTTACTGATTTGTACAAAAGTTTTTGTTTTAGTGATTCTGATCCTATTTATGTGTGGGCATTTTTTACTTAACCTATTGGTTTGTGTTACCATTTTATATCCTTAATTCCCAACAGAAGTCTGAGGACCGTCTTGGTAATCACTTCAAATGATTTTTTGAAAACGTTTTAATGATTTGTGAATGATAAAATTATCTTTTAGTCAAGGTAAAATGTTTAATATATTCTATTTAAAACGTTGCCTGAAAAAGTTTCACACGAATTTAGTCAATATTAATGAAGACCTTATAACCAAAAACGTCAAAACAATATTCTTCGTTCAGTCGGAAAGTTATGGGAGGATATTGTTTTCTAGCTTTTACATCTTAGCAAAATAAAACAATTCCTAAACTGATCGAAATGGTATGAAAATGGACCTCTCAAAATTTAAAGACAGATAATTTTGGCGTATTCAAGTTTAAATTAATACTGAACAGTAAAAAACAAAGATATGTAATAAAAATGAAAAAGTTTTAATCGGATTACAATTTTAAATAAATTTGCAACTGCCTCGTCACTGAAATAACGTGTTCATTTTAATTGTTACATGGAGAGGATTTTTACGAAATTTGAGAATGTGTCTTTAAAAATGTGTGTAGACCAAATAAATTTGTATGCAAAGCATAGACTTTAAATAATTTCAGAATTATATTCTTGTGATGCACCTACAATAAAAAAAAATAAAATGCTAGTAATAAACACTATCAATGTTAATAGTGAATCAGACAGTTATTCAGTGGTCCAAAATTCCTGGTATATTCCCAACGTGAGAGACAGCGGAATAAAGTGCGTGTGTGTGTTAGGGGGGGAGTATAAAACCGCCTAAATGTTGCAACTATAACGATCAAATTCAGGAAAATAGTCCTAGTAAATCAGTTGATAATTTTTTCAAAAGCTTTCAGAAATAAATATTTGAGAGATTTTATTCAATTGTTTTTTGACTCACGATAGTTGTTGAAGCATTAATTGTAGAATTTTTAAATCTGGTAATATCCATACCAGTTCTATCCTTACTAAATTTTCATATCAAATTATATAGCATAATCATGGACTTTAGTTTTCCCTTGCGACATTCATTTGATTACCCCAGAAGAGTTTAAATATTTGAATATAGAAATCAAAGTTAATTTTATAAAAACACGAAGCATGAAAGAAGTTCGATACATAGGCGAAAGCAGAGACTGAGATAACTACTAACAAGATAAAAATTTATTTTAAAAGTAGAAAACTACATCAATTAATAATGCATTGTCTCCTTAGTTGAAGACAATTATAGAAAAGATCCCCCCCAAAAAAAGAACAGCTTACCAACAGCACAAAGCTATCTCTATAAATGTGCGATCGAATCCTTTTGCATGAGATATAAATTTCAATGTTAAAATTTAAAATGCAGTAGATTAAGATTTATCTAAATAATGTGGTGCAAAATCTGCATGTCAAAAGCTGCTAAAAATCTAAATCCTGTTTGGATCAAACTCCTATATTGTGTATTGTATAGGGATAAATTCAAATTGCTATGTTTTAATGGTCATTCAATGTAATTTATTTGAATTGGATACAGACAGACAGGCAGGCAGGCAGAGTAAACTTTTTCGACCTCATTTTACGTTGGCCTGAAATGTAGTCAGATATTTTTAGCAAGTTATTTTTAAGTCATGTAAAAAAAAAAAAAAAAAAAATGTCTGGTATGGGATTTTACTTTACAAACCGAGGAATTATGACTATAGTCTAAAATAGCCATTTCTAGTAAGATTTCGATTCACATCATCATCATGACCGTCTCTAATGTTGATATTCTTCTCGGTTATTAAGCTGAGCTTGGCACAAGACAACAAGTATGGTAATAACAGGTGAACTCAGATAATTAGCCCACCCTAAGAAGTCTTCCTGTAGGCTTCGATGTCAGGAAAAATTAAATTATTTAAGTGAAAAAAAGTCTTCCCAGTAAAGTAAGAAGTGTACAAATATCACTCACTAGAATATTTCTAGTTATTTCTTCTATATGCAGTGTATCTTCAGAATGAAGGTGATCATGACTATCCACAATTTTCTGTAATTTATCACCTTTAATAAATTTTGTCTTTTTATTATCTCTCCTAAACCTTATTCCTCTATCATTTACACAAGAATTGCTGTTTCACTCTACTCTTCCTGTCGTCAATGTCTTGTGTCTGTCAAATTTTCCAAGCCTTCTTTCCTCATTAAGTATCCTAGAAATTCCGACTGCTTCTTTGTGATTCTAAGTATAAATGGCTTTTTGTCTCCATTTACTCTAAAACTTCGTCGTTGCTCACATGTTCAGTCCATGGTATTCTTAACATCCTTCTGTAAAACCACATTTCTGTTACTTCAAGTCACTTCTTCATCTGTGAGGAGATTGTTCAGCATTGTCTGCCACATAAGAGGACTGAAATTATGTAAGAGTTCAGTACTCTTTTCTTTGTTTCTAACGAAATTTTCTGTTTAATACTTTGCTTAGCTTTTGGAAGGCATCTTTCACTATCTCAATACGCATTCGGATTTCGGCGTTGCACTTTCCTTATCGATCTTCCATAAGAATTCTTTCAGTTTCCTTTCTGTGTCTGCTATCAGTACTGTGTCAGTAGCATATCTGACCGCCGATAATAAATCCTGGTAGGACTTCTAATTCTCTCAGAATCATCTCACTATAGGATGAATTAGTCCAGTGAGAAGACATCCTCGTCTTAAACCGCTTTCTATTTTTGGATATTTACTGAATTCATTTTCTATTTGTATGCAGGCAGGGTGTTCTCAGTATATATTATTTTAATATCCTTCCCAGATATCTTAAGATTACCTAGCAGTTTGAACATTTATTTATGACGTTAAACGCTTGTTAAACGCTTTTGCATAATCTATAAAACAGATATATCCTTTTGCATATCCTTTCTGATATCACACTGTACACAAATATCTTATTCCTTGTTCCAGTGTCTTTAATGAAATTGTACTATTCTTGTTTTATTTCCGGTTTAATTCTCTTGTGTGCTCATATTCATCAGAATTCGGATGTTTTGTTATATGGTTCATAAAGAGTTCACATTAGTTTGCACCTGGTTTGTTAGGCAGCGCTATAAAAATGGATCTACTTAGGTCTTTCGGTATATCACCATCGTTGTATATTTCATTTATTATCTCTCTAATTTTGTTAGTGCTGAAATCATCTAAGGGTGGCAGCAATTCCATCTGGCCCTGCTGATTTGGTTCTTTTTGTGGCCAGTGCTGATTTCACTTCAGATTTTAATATTTTTGATCCTTCGATATTTCTATGTATTACGGGTTGTCCTCTTTCGTTGGGAAAGAATTTTCTGAAGTATTCTTTCTTTAATATCAGTGACCCGTCCTTTGGTTTTATACATCCTGTTGGCGAGCATGTCTTCCGGTTAGTTTTATTTTTCTATGCATATCTACTTTATATGTAATACACATTTTTTCCTATTTCTGCACATTTTTCGTTGAGCCATTCCCCTTCAGCCCGACTGCATTTCTTCCTGTGTCTTGTGCAATATACTATATTACGCACCATACAGTGGCACATTTTTTGTCTCAATTCCATCATGTCAAAAACTTTTCATCTGTCATCAACTCTCTTCTATCGGATGCTCTCGATTGCTGAGGCTAGTAAAGCTTCTCTTAATATATCCTAATTCGAATTTCCATTCCCATTTTGTTCATCCACTGTTAACACTGTCCATACATTTCTACTTCAGATTCAGGAATCTGTCGTATTGTAATTTGGGTGTTGTCTTGGTCCACTTCAGTTTCTGTAGTTTCCCTCTAAGTGTACATATCACTGGAGGGCGGTCGCTCTCGCAGTCGACACTTGGGTATGTTTTGCAGTGTAAAATTACGTTCTTAATCTCTTGATAGTTATATAGTAGATTTGTTTTACTTTTTTTTTTGTTTCTTCTCCCGGGACTCTTCATGTCCGCATACATCTTGGATATTCTAAGATCATTCGCCGCGCACCTTT